ATCGCCACAGCGAATTCATCCATATTGAGCCGGCCTCTGTTGTGGGGATCCGCCAATGTCCAAATACGCTCGAGATCTTTCCGATCCAGCCCACTTTGCCCCATAATTTCGATAGCAGTATCGCCGCCAATGAAGCCCTTATGAAATCCATCCCATGCCCGAAAAAGATCGTCATAGATTTTTTTCTCTTCTTTGGTGATTGCCCACGGAATGTGAGCATTTCCAGAAAGACCAGCGGCTGAAAACCCGCCCTCACGGCCTGGTTGAGGCATTAGTTGCTGCTTGAGGGCTTCTATATTTGGCAATCCAGAAGACGGAGCATTGACAAAGCCCCACTGGCCGGGGACACCAGTAGGCTGGGCGATTAAACCAGAAACCCCACCGGTCTGTGCGGGACTGAGGTTGGGCCCGAGGCTCGTGGGCATCGGCGGCACTGGGGGACGGGGTCCACTATAGCCTGTAGGCTGGGGATTGGACATCAGTCCTGTTGGTTGAGCTTGTAGAAACTGTTGCTGGGAGTGCCCGGGAAAGGCCGTAGCTTGCGGGATTAGACTTGAGCTTTGGCCTGGAAAAGAAGCTTGAGTAGATTGAATGCCAGTCGGCTGAGTGTGAAATCCTGTTGGCTGCGCTGTGAGCTGCGTGAGAAGCTGAGAATTGGTCGGCTGTTGAGGTTGCGGTTGCTGAGGAGCTGGAGGAGCAGATTTGTTCTCCAGTAACGGCGTATCGAAGTTCGGAGTATTTATGGGGATGGTCACCTCTGGTTGCGTGTCAGGGACCTGGAAGGAAATGATATCTACCATACTAGAAACTTCATTCTTTATCTTCTCGGGGAGGGCATCTGGCAAATCTCTGCCTGTAATCCGTATGTTGCACAGATACATGGCCAAAGCAAACTCCGGAAAAAAAAGTTGGCCTGACTTTGTGGTGTCTGACAAGACCCATATTTTCGACAGATCACTTCCTGGAAGCCTTGACCGCAGAAGCAGATCTTTGGCCTTTTCTCCACTCATCGTCTGACTGTCTCCGACCGCTGATTTAAACAGCTGTTCGAATTTCGCCTGGTCTTGAGCTGTTATGAATGAGAGTCGAATGCTGGGAATTTTACTACCGGCGGTTTTGGGGGGCGGGGGTGGAGCGGCACCAGCGCTATCCCTGAAGGAGTCTGCTATCTCAGATGATGTCTGAGAGGCCAGCCGGACCGGTAGGCCGGTGCTGGAAGGGACTTGGAGCTGCGGGGCTTGGCTCTGAATAGAGTATCCCGTGAACTGGGGCGGCTGAGTGGAGGTCTGGAAGCCAGGTTGCGGTTGCGGTTGCGGAAAACCTGTGAATTGTGGTTGTAACTGCCCAGGAGAGAACCCTGTAGGTTGAGGCTGCAGATGAGAGCCTCCGAATCCAGACAATTGGGAACCATATCCATTAGGTTGAGGGGCAAGACCCGTCTGATGCTGTTGCTGCTGCTGGGGCGTTTGCTGTCCGTGGGGGAATTGAGAGTATGAAGGCTGCTGCATGAAAGGTGGTTGTCCCGGGCGAGCGCTGTTGGCGCCGCCCATAAAGGAATTCGACGAAGAGTACATTACCAACACAGCTCGTGCATTAGATAGGTAATCTAATAACCATATAAGAAAGAAAAAGTGATAAGCGATAGATTGATAATAAAGAGAAAGAGAAACTGTACGAACGATAGAAACCGACGGACAGGCAGCGATGGAAGGTCAGGAGCTGCCGATGATGATGGCCGCAGTCAGGGACGCGGAGCGCCTGCGCTAATCCCATTTGGATAGTGGGCCGCGAGTAACTACCTACTCCACAGTTACCTAAGCACTAACATGTAAATATATCAGGAACAAAACGGGTACAAGTGTCTACGTTTTATAAAGATAACCAGTTATTTTACTGTCAATCATGCGATAAAATATCGAGCGAATACAGTAATCCTGATGGTATGCTGGATCAATTGCCGCTGACAGAACCACAACCTCGCATACCATATCACGATTGTAGAAAACATACCAATCCCCAGGAACATGCCAAGAGCTAGCTTCGTGGATTACAGGTGCCAAGAGAGCAAACATAGAGGAATTGAAAGAAGGAGGGAAAGAAGACAGAATAGTGAATAGACATAACCGAGTGCACGCATAACCAGCTGCGTATAATCGAAACAAAGGTTTCGAAACTAGCTCGTTTTAATTGATTCGTCCATCACCTAGGCTCCTTCCTGTACACCATCCTGTTGCTGCTGAGTGGCCCCCACCATCTTTCGGAGTTCATACTCCTTGGTGAATTCACGTGACAAGATGCCCAGGTCTCGAACTAGTTCGTGGCACGCAGCAATGACGGCTTCCTTGGGGGTGATCTCACCATCGGTCTGTACACGGAGTTCGAACTTTGGAACAAGCGGATGAGGAACCTGGAATTTGCATGTCAGACGCATATGTCAACCTTCTAAGACACAAAGACAGGGGGGAACCGAGGTCAATGCAGCTAGCAGGTTATGGAAGTTCTACCTTGTATGCAGCAAAAAGCACATGGGAACTCTGGAGAAGGCGGGAGCGAATTAGGTTTCCGAGAGTATGATCTTCCTTATTGAAAGTGAAGATGGCAGAGGACGGAATACCTAAAACCAAACTTGAGTGTCTGCTAGCACATTAGACCTGCAACGGGGAGGCGTACGTGTATCAATCTCCATCTCAACCTTGTTCTCGCCATTCGCAAGGACGAATGATTCATAACTGAATTCAAGCCGCTGTTAGCCAATGTTCCCAGCAAGGATTCCAAAATAGACGCAACAACATATGTAATCCGGGAATAGCGGTATAATAAAGTCATATATAGCAGACCTAGGTTGCTGGTCATGTGAAACTTTGACAGTAGTCTGGCAGCCGTTACGTGGAGAACTGCCGTTCGCATTTATCCAACGTGCGTAGGCCATCTCCTTGGAGAGAATATATTCTTTGCTGGAACTCATGATCTCAGGGAGAACAGGGGGGTTATAAGAGGGTAACAGGCAGAAACCCCCCGAGAAGGAGTGAATGAGAAAAGAACAGCAATGAACACAAGTAGATCAAACACATGCGTTAATAAAGAAGGTGCCCTAGATCTACTATCATGATTGATTCAAAGTCTCAGGGAACGACCAAGAATAATTCATGAATCAAACTCTCTCTTTCCCTTTGCAGCAAGCAGGGCATCATGGCTTAAATATATTAAAAAAAAAAATTTGTAGAAAATGAAAAGCACAATCGTTAAATCATACTTTATATGGGATTCGCAAGCAGCAAAAAATGATAGCAATAGTAACAATAATGATAAAACTAAGAAGAAGACCAGTCAAAACACTGCTTTCCTTACCGGTCAGGGGCATTCATCTTGAACCAAATGAAGAATGAGATTAGACGTTGTTTAGTCCAGTAAAGTTGATATTAGTACCGGGTCGAATATTCACGGGTCCTGAGGGATTTCTGTTTATTTCTCGGTATCTTATGCTTCGATCGTTGCTTTGATGGAGTCTGATCGTCTTTTCCCCAGCCGAAATAAATATGATATCAGTAGTAGAAAATGAGCAAAGCTGATAATGTCTCCGTACGGAAATAGAGATAAGGTACTCGAGTGATCTGAAAAAAAAAACTTATGGTATTATATTAGGGATAGGGCTTGACAGCACTAAAAAATGGAGGAGCGCAGATAATAATGATACTCTTGCTGCCTTATATTTGCTCTGTGATACAACAATTGCCTCTCAATCCTTTCACCTTGAGAATCCCGTGATTATACACGTGATTATACACGTGATTATACACTATCCTTGTTGGGTAGTTTTTATTTGCCGCCCCCATCCTCTGTGCAGCTTCTGCTTTTAATCCTCATCTTGACCGTGTAGCAGTATTAAATATCTGTAAGAAAGATACAGGTAGAATAACAACGACAACAATAATAATACTAATAAAGTATTACTGTTAAGTATGGTCCATAAACTTATAAACTTTAAATCAAACCCTCAGCCACTGTCTGTGTATATATAGACATCTATATCTTAATTAGTCCAGCGGCCTTCCTCAACCCGGGCGCAAATATCAGGCCACTAATGTACCGCCACAATCGAGGTCACAGTCCAATGACTTGGTTCTGTAAGTACATAAAACAAGTGCATGCTGCAACCTCGAGATAGGTGAATATCTGCGTTTAGGCCGATATAGTGAGTGAGACTGAAACTACTGCTGTTGTCAGAGCGCTACTCGTCCAGGGCTCGGATGCAGGTAGTCACTGTCTAACTCGAGCAGCCTCAGCATTTGCATGTGATGCTTTAGAATAATGCTCACCGAGTCACATCCCCATCATCACAAGCGGGCATGATCGCTGATGACCTAGGAATGGTAGCCTCGTTCTGGGGTCTGTATTTGCTCCTCAGCTTCCTCTAGAGTAAACATCACGCATTGCCCCTTAAGGAAGATCATACGTGCATCTAGTAGTGGTAACACTATTCGGCTCACCATATATGACAGAGTAACGGCCATGGCAGGTTGGCCCGTTCAATCGTTAGACGAGATATCATATACAAGAGCTATACGATGATCCGGAAAGAAACATGAGTGATGAATAAAATAAAGCAGCTGAAGACTAATGACAGACCCGGGGCGGGGATTCATGAATAAGCTCGGGTTGATCGATCGTAGTGTCATTAAGACGTTATCTGTATAGTATGTCTTATAGAGTACCTACTAAAAACTTGGAGGTACAGGCGCTGAAAGATGGAGAGTAGACTTGAGAAAGTATGGGAAATAAGTGATCCGTCAAACGCCAACCAGCTATAATGCCCTGCATTTCTCCCAGTATAAAGGGGCTGCAAAAAGAAAGCAAAGGAAAGGAAAAAGAAAATTCTTCGGATGTATGTCACCTCCATGAAAAAACATTAGAAGGAGGGGGGGGGTTTAATTAGTAAAGCGCAAGGGTATTCGATGGAAAATACTCGCGACATCACTGCAGGAGTTTATCTACTGATTCTGTCAATGTACCGCATTCAACAGGTCTCCAAAACTCGACGTCTCCTTCTTCATCTTCCAATTGTTGCGCTTTTTCTCACGTTTCTTCATCATTTCGGCCCAGCCTTCATCATCATCATCATCTGGGTCAGCGCCATGACCCTTTGTACCGGTGATCGTTGATTTATCGCCACTCGAGGTTCGATCGATGGTAGGTCTGATTTGATGTGATCTCGTTGGAGGGACAGAGAGAGTCGACTTCTGATTCTCATCATTCCATGATTTTGACATGAAGGGGAAAGGGGCTGGTCCGGACTCTGGCTGTAACACTGACACAGGCCTATACCGAGGCGCCAGTCCAACATTGCTGCGCTCCGATGGAGCAATGGATGGTGCATAGCCTTGCCCTGCTGGCGTGCTTGGTCGGTCACCTGCGACATTGTATGACGTGACTGGGCTATTAAGACGAGAAGAAACGTTCGGATCAAGCATACTCAGTGTTCTTTGATCATTCCGGTAAGCAGCAGGAGCATGGTTGGCTCCTCCAGCTGAGGGCATTGAGGATGGTCTCATATTTGCGTTAGCGGTCGCTGTAGGCGGGGAGCCTGCCGGTGGCGCTAATTGCTGAGGTGGAACCTGTCCACCCTGCATCTGGATCATCTGCTGCATCCACTGCATCTGCATTTGCATCATACTTGACATTTGCTGAGACAACTGTATCTGTGCCTGTTCCGTAGCAGATATCCCTGACGGGGGCCCGGCCGAGCCCGGGGAATTCATACTCATCATCGTATAGGGCCTGGGAATGCCACTAGGTGGGGCAGGTACTGTCGATTGCCCACCTTGATACTCATACATAGCTTGCGTGTTGGGGCTACCTCTCCTCATTGCTCTTGCTCTTTCTTCAGTGGCGATCACCCCTACCAACCCCCCAGGAGGCAATGCAGGTGGGGGGCCTGCGGCAGCTGCTGGGCCTCCGTAAACTGAAGAACCACCACCGAAGGCCAAAGACTCCCTATTAGAAGGGTTGACTAGACTCGCCCCAAAATATGGGTCTCGTGGGAGATTTCTGGCAAAAACCGGGAGACTAGAACGATTGCCGGGTTCTTGATCGGCAATGGAGCTCGAGGATGATATATAAGGCTGATGAAATGAGGCTCGGAGATTGGGGATTGAGTTCGAAGGAACAAGGCGGCTAGGAGGCCGATTCCTGTTGGGAAACCCATGTGCTGCCAGGATCCCTAGGGGGATTTCCTCGTCTTCATCACCCTCACTGCTCTTTCCACTGCCTGATCTATGACCTGAATTCAACGGGGTGACTGTTAGGTTCGGCGTACTGTTATTAGCCCGATCAACCTCTGAGCGAAGCGCTGGCGCTGGAGACTCTTGCCCGGTCACCTTCATCATCTGCTGTCGGTACACCGAGAGATGGGCCTCCTGCTTCCGTCGCTGCCTCTCTACTTCGCGGTTCTTTTCAGCCTCGTCCTCTTCGTCAAACTCGCTCTCTGCAGAGTCTTCACTCTTGGACGCATCGCTGTTAGATCTTCTTAGCTCCTGCTGTTGTCTGTAATGTTCGAATTGCGAAGGCGTCATGACTTTGTTTGACGATGCTGTAGGTGCCGGTTGCTTCTCCTCGTACTGCGCAGCTAGTCTTGCATGTGCTGCTATAGAAGGGTCGGGGTGGTCCTCGGCTCCACCGAGAGATTTGTGTATGAGCATTGGATTAGCGTCCAAGCGGTCTGAACCATCCGCGGTAGTTGCATGGCTGTTGCTGAAAAGGGGAGTGTCATGTTCCACATCGGAATCCTCATGTTCAGAACTCAACAACACCTGGGAGCTTCTTTTATGAGTATATAGAGACTCCATGATTAACTTGGCGTCCTCATCTTGCATGGGCGTCGAGGCTCGCTTGCTGGGGTAAAGAACACTCCTTCTCAAGCTTTTATCGGGCATAGCCTGAGGTTGTTCCAGTGAACGATGAGTAGTAGTCCTCGGCACTACACTCGACAAGGGCAGGGATATCCGACGGTCCTCTGAAGACACAGGATGAGAATTCAGTGTTTGTTGCAATGCCGGAGTGTGGTCCTGAGGTGAATCGCTCGCCATCAAAAGCCCCTCCCCCGAGTGTCGGCTGTCCCAGGAGTATGGCGAGGGCTCAATTTCCTTCGATCGGTCGGTATTGATAGGAGTGGGACGCGATGACTTTTCCTGCTTGCGAGCCACTAGTTCTGGAGACGGGGGAAACTGCCATTGACGGTTAATAACATACCACATAGTCTTCGTTACGCATCATACCATATCTCCCGACCTTTCTCGAGAAGTCTCCCTTTTCCCAACTTCATCAAACATGTTCTGGAACTCATCTTCTCCTTGACCAAGCTGCAAGTCTGTGTCCAGCAGTTTCGGAGGCGTCGCTGTGCTTGTCGTGCTGGCTGTCATTGCCCGACTTCTAGAGGGACCTGGGGTCGAGGGCTGAGGAGTCTGTGCTGAAGCCTTGGAAAATCTGCCACCAAAAGAAAATGTTCGACCAGCTGCACGCAATGCGCCAGTGAGGGGTGGAATCGGTATATCGTACAAGTTTCGGGAGTGCGATGCTGGAGTATCAGATGGATTAGGACCATCCGTTGAACGGTGTGTTGCCGAGTTAAATCTTGCCGACTTGGGACGCTCATGCAAGGCTCCACTACCATGGTTCTCGTCAGCCATCTCTTTTGAAATACTTGTAGGATTGATTGGAGAGCATACGGGCTTCTCTGGCCTGGGCTATCAGCCTCCGCAAAGATGTTGTCCGAATCTTCCGCTGTTGGATAGAACCGTTGTCCGTCACTTAGTCGTTTGGCTAAGAGATTGCCCTCGCTATAGGACTTTTTATCAACAGAAGGGCGTTCAAACACTCGGAAAGATTGTGGAGGATTCTCTCCCTCTTCCAAGGCATTTCCAGACGATTTACGCCGGGCAAAGCCTTTAGGAAGTTTGATTGGCATCTGTGCTAAGGCCGAAGGTCGCGACCACTAGCGAAGTCGGAACCACTTTCAGAAATAGAATTAGCGAGCTGCACCAGCTCCGGGGACCTCGTCCAAAGATGTGTGGTGATAAAAAAAATATAATAATAATGAAAAATGATAATCATAAAAAAAATTCCGTGTCAGTAGCACTATCCGCTTCCATAAACAGGGCTGCGATGGAGGACCGTCTCTGTTTGGGCTGATTCTGGGCCTTGCCAAAACTCTGAGATTCCGATCTTGGTGGGGCTTAGTCGCAAGAACGCCGAAGAATGAAATGACAGTCCCAGACAGCCAAAAGCAATGAGAAGGACAGTTAGTGGCTGTGGTGTCGAGATATTAAGGGGCCTTAGGAGAATGCTAAGAAATTGAGCGGAGTGTTCAGATGGTAAGTTTCTGGCACAACTGTCCATAGGCAATTGACGCTGGCTAAGACAGGACCCTCACATACCAGAAGCGGGGCTCAGGAATGATTATTATTAGTATACAGAAAATAATAGTAGTAGTACGGAGTAGTAGTAAAAGTAATAAACAAATAATAAGACAAAGCAGAGGGTCGTTGTCGAAAGTGGGCAGTGGAGGACGCAAAAAGGGTGCCAAAAATGGGGACAAAGAGGAAACCGGTTTATAGGTAGAGGGGGGGGAACAAAAAAGAAAAAAAAAATGAGAGAGAGTGTGTGTGAGAGCTATTAACAAGAAAGTAAGACTAATAACAAAAAATACTGCACGGAGTAAAATAAGTACTATGTACCGAAGAGATGGATAGATGAGCAAAAAGCTCTCACTTTCCAGGTCCAAACATGAACACACTCTTAGGGGATGTGGAGTGTGGAGCTGAGCGCTAGTCTGGTCACCAAATATAGCAAAAAGGTGTGACCTCAGCTCCCTCGGAGTGGACAAGAGCACTTATGACTAGTAGGAGGGGTGTCTAAAATATTGCACAAAAAGAAAAACTGGTGGGAAAAGTAATGGACAAGCAAAAGAGAAATATTTTAAGAGACAGCGACACCTGCTACCTACAGTAAGAAAAGAAAACAACCTTGGAATCCAGTACCTGACGGAATACATACTGTGTACTCACTTGTCTCGTCTTTTCCACGGTTAGCCCTCCATTCAGGTCGGGCGTAGGAGCCCGGACCGGCCTCAGGAGAACAAGGAATTATTTAGCGAATCAGAGCCAGTACCGCTTTGCATGTTAAAGCCACTCAAACCGAGACTTTCCCTTGGTCAATAAAACTTCCATGTGGACATGGTGGCCCGAGACTAGCGCTTCATAGTGCTTCCATATTACTACTACCCGTCTATCGATACAAAACGTACTCCGTACGATCGTTTATTTAATTATGGTCGTCTTTCCCTCGATATATAGTACTATCTGAATAACCGATCTTTGTGTGTGTCCAGCTATTTAAGGTTATGCTAACGTCCAACTAGGCTTCATGGATTCAAGGCCTCTCTAGATTGTCACTCAGTCTTGTGCTGGAAGGATCTTGGCCCTTTTTCACTTAGTTATCTCTTAAGGGGGATGGTTGCTGTTGTTTTTCTGCTGCCTTGTAATGATTTTCCTTGAGCGGGCATCACAAATTCCTTGCTAAGGAACTCGAGTGTAAGATATTAAACAAAGTACGGAACAGAACAAAAGACAATCCATCCCTATAAAATACAGCTCCATCTTTAAAACTGTTGAGAGCTTCTAATTTGGCTGTATCTGACATAGGCTGTTGATGTTGAGCAGGAAGAGAAGATAAGAAAGTTAATTTGGAAGCGTAAAAGTGAGAGACTAGGAGTCTAGCGGTCTTTTCAGGGGCAAGCTGAGCCGCTCTGATGGTCGATGTGGCAAAACTTGAGATACCTGGGGCAAGCAGAACTTGCCCTTATCTCCGTTTAATAAGCTAGCAGCCTATAACTAACTAGTATTTACTCCGTAGCTCTCTATGTTCTTTTATTCTTGTATTATTATTATTATTTCCCCCCTGTCTTCGTCGGATTCCCCCTTTCCCTAAAACATTCACACCCAATTTGGAGAGCCACTTTGGTATCTAAGCATGGAGCTAAATTCTTCGCTGGTATGAAGTACAAGAATGTTCACACTCTACCCGAGGTTTTGAAGACTAAGTCTTGTTTGTAACAACTTATATTCCATTTGGTTATTTAGGTGACTAGAGTAGAGAATCCTAGGGGCAAAGAGAAGGATAAGAAGGGGAAAATAAGAACAGGGTATTATGGGTACGAAACATTGAAGATAATAATAAACTTTCCATGGTCCACTCCACCATACGAAATAACTTTTACTGTACATTGACTGACCCATGTACAGTAGTACTTGTTCACCCTCAATTGAGATCTCCCACCCAACGCTCCGTAGTTATCGTAACACAGTATCTACGAGGCGACCATTGATTATACTATTTAAGAATATTCTGTTTCCATTCCACAACGATCGTATTCTTAACGGACAGAAGAAGTATCAATCCGTAACCAACAATTGCATGGTTTCATACTGTGGAGAAGGATTTTCCTTTCCCTGGTGTTTTAAAGTGGCTGACCAGAATCACCTATCATTGTTGCAGCCCAAGGCTCCACTTGCTATGCTACTTTAAGACAAGATGACTACCTACCTAATAGTACCCATAGCATGATCTATCTCAAAGAGCTATTTAACGGCAGATACAGTAGTAGACCCCGCCATTTGACGAGTCCCTTACGCCATGCTATGGATGCAGGCTAGCAAATATGTATTAAAGTTAGGACAACGCGGGTCGCTGTCATTCGTGGCAGATAGCTCTGCCATAGCAACACCTACTGACCGCTAGGTATTATGCTATATCATATCGTGCACGTAGCAACTATGTTGCTCTCTTCAAATATTGTTTTGGGCCGTGGCACTCCAGGAATGTACTGTGTTTGTGTGGGGCACATCTAAACAGTACAGAGCAAAATGTTTGAAAGCCTACAACCTACTCTGGCATTGAATTCGTACTATGAAAGAATCATTGTCAACTAGTCCCATTGTAGGCATGAAGCAAGCATACGAAAAGTTAAATAATATAGACACTGGGAACGAAATCAACCAAAGAAAGCAGAACGAGTAAGGCTAAACCTGTTCCTAGTTCTTGCGAACGGGCTCACCAACACCCGGCCGGATAAGCATGTATTGTAATCAAATAGGACAGAAATTATCTCCTGGTCGTTCCACCACAACTTTGCGACCCTTTAAAGATATGATTTCCATGCCAAGCCTCACTCATAAGTTAGGACTTGCCTTCGACAACAATCGTGTCTTGTGCTTTAAGTCCTCCAATCAACGCAACGCCGACAGGGATCCGGACATCTCTCACATTAAAGCATGCGAAAGCGACCAGCTTCTTGATTACTGGGCAGCATTGTAATATTCGGCCTATGAGGTAATCGTCCATGACGGTATGGAAGGAGACATCCAATTCCTTCAAGTTGGGATAAACTTTGCTATCTGAGAATATTTTCTCGAAGGCAGCACGCGATACGTGGCGGCAGGACGATATATTCAGTTTCCGTATCGCTGAGCCTGAGTGATTCATGAGGGCAACGAGGCCGTCAGAGGCAAGGCCAATTGCATCCCTAGGGCCGTCCGGATTTGAGTTATCCACGTCTCGTGTAGAGGAGAAATCAATATGTTCCAGAGGAGGGTTTGGCCACTCAGTGAACAGTTTCGCGAAACCTTCGTCGGTGCACACAACATTGCCTGACAAACGAAGTTTTGCAAGGGATCGGCATTTATCATGGATGGTCCCCAGGAGGCAATTGTCCACATTGGGAAAGCCTTCTAGAGATAGTGTACGTAACCTTGAGCCGACCGTAGAGACTACTTCTATAAGGCTGTCGTTTGGTGTCTCTCGAACGAGATCTAGAGACAAATGCTCTAATGATGTCAAGGATGAGAGAGCTTGCAAGGAGATATGGCCAACCTTCCAGCATTGCTTCAATTTCAGACGACGAAGTTCTGTGCAGTTTCTACACATTACTTCAACGGTCTCATCGTCAAGGGAAAAATCAAGGTTGGACAGCTTTAGGGCCTCTAACTGGGGACCCAGTTTTTCGAACAGGCGTCGCCAATATGAGTCTGAAACTAGGTTAGCAGCATCCAACTGCAGATATTTCAACCTCAGATCACGCCCCAGTAAATATTCGACAACTGTATTTTTCATTTGACCAGCAAAGCGAAGGTTGACATTCGTAAGCGTAGGCATGAAGGCAAATATCTTCTGGAAATCGTCCGTCTCGAGTTCTAGGATGTGATCAGGTAACGGCCAAAGGTAGATCTATAAATATACATACTTGCAGAATCGTAAATGTTAATTGAGTCCAAATCAGGTCGCAGAAACAGATTGAGGGTCCTCGATGTCAAGGCACGTCTCTTGGATAGAATCTGGCTTAGGCGATGAAGTAGTGGAGAAGGCAGATCACCAAATTCTTCGATATCATTGATATTATCAGCAATTTTCTAGATAAGAGACGTCAGCATTCGGATAATGGCTGTAGTTTGCAACGGTTTTATAAAAATAGAGATTGTGTGTACGCATACCTTTGTACACATTTCGGCCAAGCTCAAAGCACCTTGTTGGGCTATACCATCAAGTAAATTGCTCTGATTCTGACGGCGTCCAGTTCTTGGTCCACCTCTCTTAGCCTTAGGTTTCTTTCCATCATCTTCTAGACTCCTGGAGCACTTCGCACAAAGGAGCCCCCCATTGGGGCCTGTTTTGCTATATGAAGTTACCGTGAAGCGTTTACTGCAGATTTCACAATTCTCCAATTGACCTGGCATGGGTCGAGATCTTTGGTACATGATCTCTCTTGCGATGAGATTATCGTCATCATCTGGTTCCCCTATTCGCCGAGCTTTGTGACGTGCGAATTCTTTGCTCTGTTTGATTTTTGCTAAACTAGCGGCTTCCTTTCGCCTACGCTTCTTTTTCTGCTCCGAGAATTCATCGACACTCTCTTCAGCTTCGTCGCTCTCTGCGGGGCCTGACGGCTCTTCGCTGGCAGCTTGATGTTCAGTTTCATCTAAACGCCTTCGGTAATCTTCACGAATTTGAGCAGCGGATATATTGTTAGACTAAACCAAAACCTTTGGTCAGCGATAACACCAAAGAAAGAATGATAACTGGTAGCGTAGCAGCCACTCACAGCCAAGAAGTCAGTAAGGGCAGAGTGTCTATCATCGCCTATCAGTTTTGCAACACAAATGTGGCGCATTCTGTAGGATATTACATACGGGCCTCTTATTTGATTTCTAGTTTGTCTTCTGTTGGCCCTTTGACTAATTAGTGAATACATTCGTCATCATTGAGGAAATTTTCACCTACATTTTGCGGGAAAGCTCTCAAAAGAGATGGTGTTGAAGATAAGGGTTTCAAGGGGGTCCGGAAAGGGCCAAAAGAGGTAATATGAAGTCACAGGACCCGTGGTGATTTCGCGTTCCACCTTACGCGAAGTCGCTTATCGTGTTCAGGAAGGATGACTTGCAAAGGCACCGTCCACAACACATGAAATAGATATGTACTATTTATACTTTCAGTAGAGAAGACCAACACTATGACTCAGTGGTGAAGAAAATTTTTTCTGCCCATACACATTTATCCATCCATATTCCTGTTCCCCTTGCCGATACCCGCAGCTGGAGCCTAGGCTTAGGTACCATATGCAACAACCAGATTTGCCACTTGCAGCCTTTTTCCTCAGAAACGATAGCACTCGTCATATCAAGTTCAAGCTTGCTTTATTATTTCCATTTCTTTATCCTCTCAATTTACAGATAGGATAAAGGGGATTTATCCAGAGGTCAATATGGGGAAGAGAACAACTACTAAGGTCGGACCTCAGGCGGCCTCAACCGCAGGTGAGTGCACTGATTCTAAGGACTCTCATATATTCCCACTATCATCAATCTTTAAACATGAAGGAAGACAAAAGACAAAGAAACGAACTAAGAGTGGAATCAATCGCTAATCTGATCAAAAACTCTTCCAGATACCTCTGCACCGCCCCGACGCACCTCTTCAAGGCTAGCACGTTCCTCTGTCTCCGATGCCAGGAAAAGCGACATCTCTACGGATAAAGAACGTGGGTTGCATAATCCGAGTACTCTCAGACCGCTTCACGGCAGCAGGTTAGCAGCCGTCGAAGTCGCTATCCCCTTGAAAAAACAGTCGCCTACTAGGTCTACTTCATCCTCTGACTTGATTGAGGATATATCTGGGGATGATATGAATGCGTACAGTACCCCAGCAAGTAGCGTGGCAGTTACTCCCGCCGAGTTGGACATGGCCAAAGCAAGAAAAAGAGTTAGTGCATCCGCTCGCGCTCGGGAACTGCGTTCGAGTACAATGTCCCTCAACACGAGAAAGGGCTCCAAAAGAGATTTTACGACTATAACTACAGATGACCCTACTACTGAAAGCTCAGATGCAGCCTTTGCTCAGGCTCTTCAGCTTCAAGAAAATCAAGGGTCTGTTCAAAAACGACGCAAGGCTCGAAATGGCGTTAGTTTTGCAGTAGAAGACTCTACTGACAACGATGATGTTTTGACGGGATTAAGTTACAACGAAGGGAATAACCCAGGAGTAGAAATCAGAAAGCGGTGTCCTGCACGCAAAATGAGGAACTCTGTTCGGAGTGTGGTATCAGATAGCGAAAGTAGCACCAACATGGAGGATGAGTCCTGGGATGAACAAGAATATCTCTCCGAAAGTGATTCTATGTCAAATGTGGATGTTGATCCTGTCAGTCAGAGGATCAGCTTTTCGGCTAGTTCAAGAGCTGGCATTCGAACGCGGGCACGGGCTTCGATAGCTTCCTTGCCCACTGGACCGGTAGCTAGCCGGCTAGGGGTGTCCCATCGTGTGAGTTATATATATATATATGATATCATAGAATGCGCTCTAAACGCCACTTCTAGGCATTGAGAGAGCGGAAAAAGCTCGAGATGCAACATCCATATATCATGAAAATGTGGGATGAACTACGAAACAGTCCTCCTATTATCCCAGTCGCAGCAGAACAACCCCCTGGCATATCGAGAAATCTCAAGTCATTCCAGCTGGAAGGTCTGAATTGGATGATGCGGCAAGAGGGGTCCCAGTATAAGGGCGGTTTACTAGGGGATGAGATGGGCATGGGAAAGACGATCCAGGCGGTTTCCCTTCTCATGTCTGATTATCCTGTCGGGCAGCCATCCCTCGTCGTCGTCCCCCCCGTTGCTCTGATGCAGTGGCAATCCGAGATCAAGGTTTGTCTTGTCTTAATATATGTGAGTGTAAGAAGTAGTCTCACCTTTCTCTAGGAGTACACGAACGGCCAATTGAAGGTTCTCGTATATCACAACTCGAATCCCAAAGTCAAGTCGCTCTCAGAGAAAGATCTTCTAACATATGACGTGATTATGATTTCCTGTGTGTTTTAGCCCATAACCACAATTTTGTCTCATCCCTAACGTCCGGGCTAGATTCTGGCCTTGAGTCAATACACCGAAAAGAATGGAAAGGATGGAATCGCAGCGATGGGATTGTGAAGGAAGATAGTAAGTATCGACATCCTTGATGCAACCTCTGGGCTCACCAACATATAACAGGTATTATCCACTCCATACACTATCATCGTCTTATTCTAGATGAAGCCCATAGTATCAAGGTAAGCTCAATTCCTTTATCGAGATTACTGCAACGGACTGACATTGCCAGCAACGAACTACAAGTGTCGCTCGTGCGTGTTTCGCACTCAAAGCCACATACAAATGGTGCCTTTCTGGTACCCCTGTTCAAAACCGAATCGGGGAGTTCTTTTCTCTCCTGCGCTTCTTAGAAATTCGCCCCTTTGCTTGCTATTTTTGCAAACAGTGCAAGTGCCAGGAACTCCATTGGTCGCAAGATGCGGGGAAACGCTGTACCCATTGTAAACACAGGTATAATAATCATACGAGTTTCATCTGTACGTTCTTGTTAACACTAACGGTCATTGCAGTGGATTTAGTCATGTCTCAATCTTCAATCAGGAGATCTTAAACCCTAGTAAGTGTTTCACAGCAACTTGCAATTCCGCTCTAACTGGGTATAGTCACCGAGAGAAATAATCCGGAAGCTCGAAAGGAAGCACTGTCTAAGCTACGTTTAATTACTGACAGAATAATGCTTAGACGCATTAAGCGAGATCACACAGCCTCGATGGAGCTTCCACCGAAGCGGTGAGTATACTCCGGCACATTCATACGGAATCCATGCGCTGACACGTTACAGTGTTGTCCTACACAACGAATTCTTTGGGGAGATTGAACGCGACTTTTCCAGAAGCGTCATGACTAACTCAACGCGGCAGTTTGATACATACGTGAGCCGTGGTGTAATGCTGAATAACTATGCCAACATTTTTGGACTTATTATGCAGATGCGGCAAGTTGCAAACCACCCAGACCTGATGTTGAAAAAGCACGCCGAGAGTGGCCAGAACATCCTTGTCTGCAGCATTTGCGATGAACCGGCGGAGGAGGCAATTCGGTCTCGCTGCCGCCATGAATTCTGTCGCCGATGTGCCAAGGACTATGTGCAATCGTTTGATGCGGGCTCAGTTGTCGATTGCCCTAGGTGTCATATTCCACTCTCAGTTGATTTCGAGCAGCCAGATATAGAGCAGGAAGAGGAGCATATCAAGAAAAATTCCATAATAAATCGAATTCGAATGGAAAATTGGACATCGTCAACGAAGATTGAGATGCTCGTCTATGAGCTTTACAAACTGAGAAGCAAGAAGCAAACGCACAAATCCATCGTCTTCTCCCAGTTCACTTCAATGCTACAGCTTGTTGAATGGCGCCTACGACGGGCTGGGTTTAACACCGTCATGCTTGACGGAACTATGACACCTGCACAACGGCAGAAGTCAATTGAATTTTTCATGAACAATGTAGATGTCGAGGTATTTCTTGTGTCACTCAAAGCAGGGGGCGTGGCTTTGAACCTTACCGAAGCATCAAGAGTTTTCATTGTTGACCCGTAGGTTTCCCCTAGAGCAGCCATTTGACGCGTTTTTGTATGTCTCACTTACAATATCTGTTAGATGGTGGAACCCAGCTGCTGAGTGGCAAAGTGCGGACCGATGCCACCGGATTGGTCAACGTCGCCCTTGTGTTATTACGCGGCTATGCATTGAGGATTCAGTTGAATCTCGGATTGTTTTACTACAGGAAAAGAAAGCCAACTTGATCAATGGAACCATTAACAAAGATCAAGGTGAGGCCTTGGAGAAGCTCACTCCAGAGGATATGCAATTCTTATTTCGGGGCTCTTAATCATACGTGGCAATGCCGATCTATTTGTGTGCTTCATGGAACAAGTCGAACATGGGCCGGTCAAAAAACTTCCAACAGAGTGCTCCAAGAGCTCAACATATCACCTTGAGAAGCTTTGAACTTTCTAGGCCGTTTAGAATATTTGCAAGTAGATCATTGTGGCCCGTTACTCTCACATTCTATGGCTATTTCTTCCCCCCTCTTTTCTTCCAGTTTTCTTTTCTTTTTTTTTTCTGTTTTATTTTATTTTATTTTATCTTTACTTAAGGTAGGAGAGGCAATAGGGCATGAATCCATCACATTGGAAGTATCCTGACAGAAGACCCGATTATGACACCTCATATGCTAGATCGGTATGCAGATAATGCCTGATCCTTCAGCCCTATCGATGATGTCACGGCTCCTTTACTCTGGAGTTTTGGTTGAAACCCCATACTCAATCAAGGAGACAAACATTCCTGGAATGGAGTAGATGATGGTAGTTACACTTGCATCTATCTCCTTATATTCTCCTTCCTCGAGTGAGCAATTTCAAATCCAGAAGCAGATTCTGGCTCCTTAACCCATCCTTGGCGGCCCCCCCGAAAATGAGATCGGCAAAAAAAAAAGCTTAGCGATTCTTGGGCCCTGAACCGAAGAGCCGTGGGAATGGGGGAGACTGTGTGAAGCAATGATAAGTCATATGATTCCCTTGACGATATTGATTATCTAGATGTCAATGGACAATAGTGCGCCCGCGTGGGCCCTCTTCTTTTAATGCGCTTGCTAAGCTGAATACTGGCTTTCAAATCTTTGTATCTGTGCAGTGACGCAGTCCCGCATTTCCCGCAGATTCCTCCGAACCCTTGTCGGGTAGGCAGCAACAATACCTAATCGAAACCACGACTATCCTATCCGCCTGGCTTTAAAAAGTAAGGGGTTAAGGGAAAATCCCGAAAATGCAAGACACACCACCGCAAGCGCGGCCACGACATTCGACCGATGAATACGCACCCAGGTTTGCTGACAACACGAAGCAATTTCAGAACCAAGCGGCGGCTATGAAGGGCACATTAACCGGTGGCTCTACGGAACAAAAACCCGCCGGTGGATTCGATAGCACTCCGTTTCCCCATGCACCACCAGGCTACACCCTTAAATTCACCTTTCATCGAGGCATCAACCTTCCCTGTGCTGATTTCGGAAGCTTCTCCTCTGATCCATACACGGTAGCCCAGCTAAATGTCGATATTCCCAAACGACATAAGCAGGATAACAATTTGACGTTCCGAACACCAACAGTACGCAAAAATCGAGATCCCGTGTGGGAGAGTGAATGGATCGTTGCGAATGTTCCCGCATCAGGGTTCCAGCTCAAATGCACTGTATATGATGAGGATGCGGCAGATCACGATGACAAGCTAGGGAATGCATATGTGGAAGTGGACTCTATTTCGGGCCACTGGAATGGTATCAAGGAGCAGTCATTCAAGGTCAAGAAGCGCACGGGCAGCAAGCGGGTCTACTTATTCGGAAACATTGCCGCTCTCGCTTCTGGGCGTCTGGACGTCGGGTCACATCTCGTCATCAGTGTAAAGTGTTTAGGAAAGACCCCGAGTGAGGAAGGGGGCCAGGTCTATACTGTAGGACCAAATTACTGGTTTAAGCATTTTTCTCCTCTTATTGGACGATTGGCCGGCACCAAAGACGAAGTCCAAAGTCAGAATGGTAAAAAGACAATCACTCGTTACAAGTACGTTCCCCTCTTCCCCTAGCGAACTAAAGAACAATGGCTCATTACAGAACATTGGTGCAGTTTTCAAGCCATTCAAATACAGCTCAAGGGTCCTGTGCCGGCAGAGCTTTACCATCGCTACGTCGAGTTCAAACCGTTCGTAGCGGGAATGTTTACGTCGCAGAGTCTTCGAGGTCGTATCCTCAACCGAGCTCTACATCACCAACATCAGCGAATTTATAATTTTGACAGATCAACCCTCCATGGCCAATCTGAGTCGCCGTGCACTGAACTTACCCAAAAGTTTCTTGAATTTACCCACTATGCTCAGGGTGGGAGAATATTCACATATGTTCTCACTCTCGATGGGCAGTTTCGCTTTACTGAAACGGGAAAAGAATTTGGAATTGATTTACTAAGCAAACATACGATGCACAGCAATGTTTCAATATACATCGCTTACTCTGGAGAGTTTTTTCTCCGTCGACGAAAACATCACCGACGGCACATCTCTCAAATGTCTCAGCCCTCGGATACCGAAATCCCCGTGGAAGAACCTCTACAGGATCAAGAGATATCAACTGACCCTGCAGACTATGAGCTTTTCATTGATAATGATAGCGGTACCTATCGCCCGAATGGTCAGAAGCTTTCTCTCTTGAAGAAATTCATCTCAGAAAGCTTTGTCGGTCTCCATATTACCACATTGGACTGTACAGAAGATGCTGAAAGAATGGGAGACTTGAAGGATGAGCAGAGAGAATTCAAGAACAAGGAAGGTGGTCAGATGACCTTCCTCCAACAAAGCAGCGCGTCATCACTTTCTATATCGAGCTCAGACGAGGAAGAACTTGATGAACGCAGTGGTGTCGTATCGAAGAAGCGAGGCGAGTTTGCCCAGAAAGTGCATGACATGCGTGATGTGAAAGGACAGGTCATGAAGTGGGCACAGGCGGGGCACAAAAATACAGGTGTTTCCGCATACGGCGAGGAGATGAAGCCGACTTCTACTCCAGGGAATCGACCCTCAAAAATCACAGAAGAAGGTACTGCTCCTGATAGACCACCGGACAATAGCTCTACCAAGCTGTGAACCAAACTTTTCCTTGTCTCCTAATACTGGGCTTGGAAGGACGTGACTCCTCCTATATCTTGACTCCATTGCCCATTCGATACCTTGATGAACTCCGATTCTTTTCCTAATTTAGTATACCATTCCTGGCGACCGTCGTTTCCTTTCTTTACTTCCCCCTTAAGTGAAGATACATATGCTCTTTCCGACATACAACGCCAACAAAGGGTGCGTATACGGTATACCAAAAATGGCACTCAAGAAAGAGATACAGGAAACAATCTTTGCCGCCTTAATGCCTATTGAAAGGATGTAACTATATTTTTAAGACTCATTTTTCCTTGAGCCGCTGATAACTTTTAATGTATATCAATGTTAATATCATTATCATACTTCTTATGTTTTGCTCCCTTTGCCATAGTCTAGGCCACTGCAGCTGAGTAAAACCAAGTGCCGATTGAGAGCTAAACGGAAATACAGATGAGACAACGTAGTTATAGAAATAAAGATGCGTTGGGCTCAACATTACATCCTCGTTATTCTATAGGCGCACGAATTCTATTGAAAAGAAGAGCAGAGCCTCAGGCTCTGCTTTTGTATTGGCGAAAATTGTTTACAACCTGACCTCTGGAGCCCACACCAATGGAATCGTGGCATACTACTATAAGTTGTACCTACAGAAGTCCTTTCCAGTTATAGTATGATACCATATGACCAGTCCCAATGTCACTGGTAACTCAGTTCCCAGATCACCTTGTTCTAGGTGGCCGCATGGAATGTTGTGAACCTAGAGGGTGAGCATGCAAAGGAGAGAGACTTGGATATATTTAGATCACGTTGTGAAGGGGCTATAGAAAAATCAAGGGGAACTTGAGAGAGAGATAGAAAGCAACTTTTTGTTATATACTAAAGGTCAGTTATATGCACATACCAAATGTGTAGATTTATTAATTAAATACTTGCATTGCATTTCACATACCTCGAAAATATCATGGTTAGGTGAGAACCGGAACCAGAGACTTGAAAGTAGTAGGTGAGAGTAACAATTAAATCTCTGGAAGCTACTTTAACCTTATTGTTTCGTGCTATAGGAAAAGTGAGGATAATATCGGCGGAAAGGAGTCAGCGTACGTCTTAGGGGCCCATCGAGGGGCAACATGGATCCCTATTTAATAAGATTTAAATCATTCCTAGCGCGCGGGACAAGCAATGCAGCGACTAATCAATCCTCAGGCACCACAATCTGAGCCCCAAGTCCCGAACTCTCATCCATCAATCATAATCATAACCTCCCACTTATTCCCCTTCAAACCCATGCTGCTATTAACTTCCTATCTTTCCCTCTCGCTTAGTCCCTAACAAGCCTTGTTATACATACCAGCTGTCCCACCACATCTATTTCTTTCCTTCCCTTAGCCCCCCTCTTTCGTTCTCTCCGACCGCATCTCATTACCTGTCCTCAGTACCAGTCAACTTCTTTCTGCCGCAACTTACGAAGTACGAACCGCTCCAAGCATCTGACCACCAGATTCCAGACTGGATGACGGCTCATTTGCTTGGTTACGTTTGCAGCCACATCGTTAGCAGTGCACCATTTCATCGAATTTTGGGCGCGCAGACCGTCGATGGTTACCTCCAGTTGTCCCGGTACCCTCTCCGGATACACTCTCGAGCGGTGACTTGACCCCTTGAATTATACCACCATGGGAAATGTTGGAAGCCGGCTGGATGACTCGGGAAGTCTATTCTTCAAGGACCAAAACAAATGTATGTCTTCAACTCATGCGGCTCCTATATACATGCCCCGCAAAGCTCTGTTGGTGTTTATCTTCAATCCTACCCGCGCTTTGTCCTTGCGTAGTAGCCGCAATCGCTAACAGCATGGGTTCACGCAGTTGCGATCGCATCTGTGACTATACTGAACTCCAGGAGGCGAGTCTTGTTGAATCTCACCCCGAATTCATTCCCTGCAAGCAGATACATCGCCAAGCGTAATATCGGCGATGACACTCCGATTGAATACATCCAGGTATAGATTGAATATGTACCTAAATAACGTGATTCTAGAACCTTTGCTCACTCCTTCTCTGTATTGTACAGGACCCTGATTTTTCCCCTTCTTCCCCAGCGCCTACTTTCCTTTTACGGCTTTCCAACGAAGACGAGTTGAACTTCCATTTCACTTTCATATTGAGACAGACACAAACCGGCAATGTCGCGAATTCTACTGTCAATGGTGTCGCGACTACTCTCCCAGAGGTTGCGGACACCGTGCTTACAGGGCTAACTTTCGCGCATGCGCCAAATTCAAAGGAGCTAGATAACCTAATCACAAGGGAGTTTCATGCCAACCCCAATTTACAGAATAATTCAAATGTGCAGTTTGTAGGAGATTACTCCACGAACAGCAGTCCATCTGTGCAATTCGAATGGTCGTGGAGATGGAAGCCGCCCAAACCGGTAGAGGACAAAGGGGGCGGCTGGAGAAACAGCTGCAGTTTCTTGGAATATGACCAAAGGGCCAACCGGCTGAATACACTTGCTCATTTCTCTTTTTGGGTACAGAATACTATGCGCGCCTTGCCGAGCCCTCAAATCTTATCACCAAGGTTAGAACTCAGCGTTCCACCGCGGCACCGTATACCCTCATCGCACTCTGTACTTTCTCATTCTAGCGATGCAGATGCAGCATCTAATCCTCAGATTACACCCAGCACTCCGCCAGATGCGGATTCCGTTTTCGTCCCACCACCACTCTCGGCACCCCCTCCACCTCCTGTTAAGGTTGACCTTCCCCATTCGCGACCTGGTGAGGATAAGAGCATTGTCGAAGACGGTCCTTTATTCCGAGCTACAATGAAGGCTCTGGAACAAAAAACAGGCAATATGCGAGCCAAGATAAAGAAAGTCCTCAAAAAAGCTGAGGCGGCCCAGCAGGCTCAGACTACCTGCAATGACGCCGTAGAGGCCTTCCTATCCGCACTCAACGACGCCTCAACACCGGACGGCAATGCGATACAACCGGCACTGGATCATTACTTTGAAAAAATTGCACGACAGATCTTAGACTACGAGAAGTCTAATACTCGACAGCTCCAGAAGCTTGTTATCGACCCGTTGATTAAACTTTACAATAATGACATAAAACAAGCTGAAGCCAAAAAGAAGGAATTCGAGGATGAAAGTAGGGACTATTATGCCTATGTTAGTCGTTATCTCGGCCAACGTCAAGACTCTCTGAAGGAGAAGAAGCGGGCGGAGAGTGACTCTAAGTATCAAGCCAAAAGGCGGAACTTTGAGCTTAAACGGTTCGACTATTCGTCATTCATGCAGGATCTCCACGGTGGACGTAAAGAGCAGGAGGTCCTATCGCATCTCACAAAATACGCTGATACGCAAGCAAAACGCTTTCTCCTAGCCGCCCAGAAGGTTGATGATATGATCCCTCAGCTAGACGCGCTTATACATGAGGTCAGTCAAGCGGATAAGGAGTTTCAATTCCAACGAACAGAGAGGGAGGAGAAGCGAAGAGCCTTAGAAAAGAGTAGTAACATGTATCTTGAGCCTGATGCGCTGGTCAACTCGAACGTGCCATCAACGCTATCGGGAAGTGGCAGTGGGGCCCAGAGATCAGAGAACGAACTTGGGCGTGCAGATAGCACGGGATCTCAGCTACGAAGCGTGATTAGCAATACGTCAACGTCGACTCAAGCCAATGCATCCGGTATCATTCCTTCAGCCGGTCCAACCATAGCACCTGCCTCTACGAGCTTAAGTGGTATGCTTACATGGAGAAGTCGCAGAGACTTCTAGACTCCCACAAAATGGTATTTGCTTACTGGGGCTAATAACTGCTATAGGTCAGCAAAGAAAGGAGGGGCTCCTCTGGGCACTATCCCGACCAGGTTCCCACATCGACCCGAAGGGTATCAATAAACAAGCCTGGCACAAGTAAGCTAATGATTCACTTCCCTCAATCACTTCGCTTTTATCGCCTGACTAACGCTCTACCGATAGGTTCTGGATTGTGCTGGACCAAGGGAAACTATCGGAATATAGCAACTGGAAACAGAAGCTTGACCTACACATGGATCCTATCGATCTACTAAAGGCGTCTGTGCGAGAGGCTCGAAATGCAGAACGAAGATTCTGCTTCGAGGTCATTACTCCTCAGTATAAGCGCATTTATCAAGCAACGTCCGAGGAGGATATGGGCAACTGGATCCGGGCTATCAACAACGCCTTACAAAGTGCTGTTGAGGGTCGTGGCATGTCCCCGCCACTCTCTCCCACTACCGATAACTCGTCCATCGGTCGTGACATTGGCTCTGTATTGACCGGGAAAAGTTCCTCGTATTCAGGCCAACATTCCCACTCCAATGCATCTAATACGTCAAACAACAGCGTAACCCGTCGCACGACTGTAGGTGCACGGCCAAGCTACGTACGTGGCGATGGTAATAGTTTTGAGGATAATCCTTCAAGGCTGCTTCAGACAGTTCGTGATGCTGATCAGGGCAATAACTGGTGTGCGGACTGCGGGTCGGCATCCAAGGTCGAGTGGGTCTCTATTAACTTAGGGATTGTTCTATGCATCGAGTGTAGTGGAATTCACAGGTCCCTTGGAACGCACATTTCAAAGGTCCGATCCCTCACTCTTGATGTGAATTCCTTCTCGAATGATATCGTTGAAATACTGTTGCAAATTGGCAACCGCGTCAGCAACATGGTCTGGGAGGCCACGCTGGATCAATCCCAAAAGCCAATAGAGAATTCAACCCGGGAACAGCGTCTAAAGTTCATTACGGCGAAGTACAGTGAAAGAGCCTATGTTCAGAGACTACCCTCCCAGTTGTCTCATTTTCCAACGCCAGACGAAACACTTCTTGCTGCGATCAAGAAAAACGACATCCAGGGTGTCCTCTACGGCATCGCACTTCGCGCTAATGTGAATGTCACTGATCGCTCTCGTAATACCCATGCAGTTTTTCTTGCTCTTGCAGCAGCTGATCCAGCATCGCCGGGTTCCTCTTCATCTAGGCCTAGTACGGGCAACTCCGTAAAGCCAATCCCGTTCCCCATTGCTGAGCTACTTGTCCAAAATGGAGCGGAGATTCCACTTCAGGCCCCGCCTATTCCTCTTTCGCCTGCCGCTCAACTATACATGAGCCAACGAACCGCTAGAGCGCCTGCATTTGGCACATTAGCTGTATCTGCATCTGGTAAGCCTACCACTGATAGCCTGGGCACTCTACCCAGTATTCGAGGAACAGGTAGTGATAATTCCGTTTTATCTTCTCACGGGCCAAGCTCTTTAGATAGCAAGGAACGTGAAAAGCTACATAAAAGAGGAAGTGCTGGTGCCAGATTCGCTGGGAAGGTAGCCTCTTTAGGCATCGATCGATAAAGCTTCATTTTTATTACACATTTTCTCTTCATCTGCTCTATTTCACTTTCACAGTGAATTGCCACTTAATTATAATTATACTTAATGAAGCTCAAGTGGACATGACATGATGTGAGGACTCGGGTTTTGAACGATTTATGTATCTGTTTAGAGGCCAATTCAATCGGCTCCCACATGTTTCGTTTTATGTGCATTCATTTACATGCTGTCTCTCTGGTTCCTCCATTTTATTGTTAATATTTCCTTTCATCTTACAGTTGACTCCGTGTCTTTTTTCTTCCCTCGTCTTTTATATTGTGTTCCGTTTATCATGGAGTGACTTGTCCTTTGCATTCCCTTTACGTCAAGGAGTTGACTTGCACATATTTTATACCATTCGACTCCGAGGAAGAGTGTCCCACTAAAATAATAGGATTAGAGCTTGGTCATAATGTTAATGATGACTGCTGACAAGATACTTTTAGTAGCAAAGATTATATATGATCAGTGTATAGTTTATACTTGATAGAGCATACTTGCATTTTGCCCTCTCCCTTTTTTGCCTATATGTTCCTCGTTATCTTTAGTTATCACATGCATATATAGTGAAGTACCATGTGTTGTCCTGATTAGTCAATGAAGAGAGAAACTGCAAGAGAAAGGCATAGGTCACTAGGAACAATGTATAAATAGAACTTTTGTTCAGTGAATGAAAAATTGCAGTCTTCATGTGACTCCTGTAAGTATTTATATGGAAGTACTAACCAATGCAATTACTTCTCACATCAGTAGAATACTTTCATGTACTGGATAGACCAACACCCCTCTCACAGATTTTTAGGCCAACGACTGTCGATTTGCCACACTTCTGATCTTCGAGAAATTGCGGGCTCATTGATTCAGGGCATATGTACATTCACTGATGGAGAAAGGAACGGGTTCAATAGCCTCTAAGAGAACCCAAAGCCCAAGGTGACATGTGGCGTTGCGGAATGCCACGACGATATTGTTTTACAAATGGATTCGTATGGTCTAGCTCTAATAGACAACGATGCACAGTACTTTATTGTGGGCACCCGCCACCCTCCCCCATCGATTTATCCATAATAATAAGAAAAAGAAAAAAGCGAGGTAGGGATGTTGGGCAAATCCAAAGATTACGAGTCGAGATCTACATGGAGATGGGTGTGATGGACCCAACAGTGTGAAAGCGCGTTAAATTGTAAGCTATGACGTCATAGGCGCACCTTGGGGTTTCTTTCTTCTAACCAGCCACACATAAATTACTTATATGAACCAGTCTCTGACGTATGTCTCACCACACACCATCTATCTCTTCACTCAACAATCAAAGCTTTTACTGTTCTTGGCAATAGATGGTGTGGTATGGCCCACTCAATTTCTCTCTGGGTGGCAAACATCAGTCATCTACAGTATACCTACTATGAAGTAGTTCGCCCCACTGACAGGAGGGTGTGTGATACTGTTCTAGCCTGTATTTAACTGTATACTAACGGATGAAGTTTCCCTGCAACCTGGGTGGATTTTAATCCCAGAGATCTACAATAACCAGGTATCTTAATTCTGATTGTGCTAGAGGAATTGATGAATCAATGGTGACAGACACAGTGCCCGGTTTGCCTACAGGGCAGGCTTGACTATCAGATAGCCTATACAAAGATTAGATCCATTCATAACTAGGTAGTGTTGACCTAATATAACTTCAAGTTGGTGCCTGGCTACCAGCACTGCCTCGGCGTACTATCCTTACTACTGTGTACTAAGTATTATTTCCTGGGCCGCATCCGAGGCCTGGGCTCATGGATTTCCCGCCAATCACACCCATTGTTATCTGATTTCCGGCGCGTCTAAACCATCAAAATATACTTTAGCTTGGCACTGAAGATACCTAAGTTACTAGGTACTACGATAATCATCTATGGGTAGAGATTGTAAGACTGTGGAATTTGACAGCCTAAGCGTAGTATGCCATAAGATGTCGCCCTGTATTCGGTGTAGCATAGCTGGGTATATATGTAAAGTTCCCCGGTATGATTTTTTGTAGTCGTGTTTGTTTTGTACAAAGTATATCTATATCTTGCACGGGTGTCTGCCGACCGAACTTAGGGGCCAGTTCATGAATTTCCTCACCGGAGTCAGGGAAAACATTTTTAAATAGTGGTGAGCTGGGTATTTTTGCAGAGGATTCCTATGGGACGGTCCCTTTTTACACAGAGGATGAGATGAAGTTCATTGAGTAGATCATTGATTGGCTGGGATCTCATCCCGTCAGGTGGACCTCTGTTGTAGTTCTACGTAGTAGGAAGGATTGGTTGGGATTTTTTATTTTTTCCTCTTCTCTTTAGTGTAGGGAGCACATAGTATTTTATGTCACCCCTTTATAAATCAATTTATTTTATAATGCCCTCTTTTTCCTTAATCACTTTTGTTTGGGTCATGAAGGGCGGCACAGCCCAATAGTACTAAATTTGATGTTAAACTTAGTAGAACCTATGCTGGCCGAGACCCGACCGGACGCTAGGTGTATTACCCGATAAGTAAATAGCCAGGTGGAGGTAGATCTCGCTATTGATGGGGAGTTGTTAACACTCCTCAAACTAGTTACTCATTTCCCAGTTCGTTTTTCCAACGCCACCTGAAGAGAGGGTGTAAGGCTCACTCCATCGAGTTTATTCCTGGTCATACTCAGTCTCGTCTGCTGGATCATGAATGTGAAAAGAATGGGCTTGCAGGTAGATCATAGATGATCCTCTTCCTCTCAGAGGGCACGAGGCGAGAGGGGGAAGACCAAAATGATACAAGTGGTGCTGTTGGTGTTGCGCCCCCAGCGCCACGTCTCCATCCGACAGTGGACCCACTACCCAGCCAAGTATGTCTCGAAGTCCATCAGAATCTTCCATTGTTTTCACTGGGCAGCATGGAGATCGGGCCCTAGTGGGAATGCACCCTCCTGCCGTTATGATTCTGATGGCTGTGTTAGGCTATGATCAACCAATTCGTCTTTTTCCAGGTGTGGATTTTTAATTTTGATTTCGTTGTTCATATGAATTATTTGATATATTTTTTTTCTCGTTATCTTATCCCCCCACCTCACCTTGGTGTTATGCGCTGTTGACCCTCTTGTTCACCTTTTAGAATTCCCACAATCATCGGGAGGGTCGTGACGCTGGTGACTTGCTCCTGTACTCATGACCAGAATCGAGACTAAGATGGGCAGTACTCCGCAGATCAGTCCATTTCTCCATGCCGTCCGTCACACTTTACAGATACCATCAAAATGTGACATATCCCTGCAATCACGATGGCAAACATGATTACATTACGTCTATGTGATTGACGGATACTCTAGAAAATAGGTATGAAGCCACGGCTCATGCATTGACCATGTTGTCCGCTGGCGATCGAGTCCTTCAATACGCCGATCCTCGCCACTTATTGGTGCCAGCCAGTCATCGGAAGGACGGAACTCCTATATTCTTAACTAACCATAATGTTGGATGCAGTCACGCCGTTGCATGACTCCTGTTGGCTTATGTGTGTAGATCAATATACTTCTGCTACCATTTTTTACCTTTTATACCTCTCAGAGTCATGATTACAGCCACATATATCCATTGCCATACCTATCAACCCGAATGTGATCAACAGCCCATGGATATTAGCTCTGTTTCCAGAGCATTTGCCACCGGTGTATGTTTGTGCTCGATGAAATCACGCCCACTAGGCCCAAACCCTCAATCAATAACTACCCTTAAAATTGGTCTCGATGTTTTTCAAGCTGTTGAAGCGACCATGGATCCATCGTTCCGACTGGGTCAGGGGATATGCCAGCGGCACCCAATCATCAATGGAAGATTCCAGCCATCGAGTCGATTATTACATTTCATGCCTTTCCGCGCTAGTGGGTTCTTTTCATGATTGACTAAGCCATACCTTTCCGCCAGTATTTTTCTTTCTATTCTTGTCTTTTTACGCTTTTTTTTCACATTTTTCTTTGCCTTTTTACACAGTACAGTAATAAACCATTGTTCGGATCTTGTGTGGCTGTTTTGGACAGATGGCTCTCTTTCAATCATATTACTCGTTATATGTGATTTATACTTCAATAATACTGGATCCGTCACGGATCTCTCCACTCAGGTGAAAGATTTCAAGCATTGTCCTTGGATTTCTACTTCAATTTGATCAAACATCCCGCGATTCACTATCTTTAATATCTCACTAATCTCGCCTCTTTTCGGAAACTTTAGCTCACGAATCAGGCCATATTATCTCCTGTGGGGTTTGAAAAGGCTCATGTTGAGGTGAAGCCTCACCTGTGGATACTTCCTCACAAGCCACGGCCACCGCCGCAAACACCAAAGGGTAGGGTAGATAGAGGGCAAAGCCCGGGAGATAACGAGGAAAAGGCAGCGAATATTCTGCACATTTCTGGATTTATTTTCCCGTTGGCTGTCTAGCCACCACTGTACAGTCCCCCTCTTACCGATATATTACTAGCCCTATATATGAGCCCAGACGAACACGTCTCAAGGTGCCCCATCTCTTTCCACACCGGAAGTCTTATCCACATTTTGACAGTGATCTTCTACGAACTATGCTGAGTGTGGAGTGTGCTCTTCCCGGATTCCTTATTTATCCCTCACCCCTTCTCTTCTTGCCTCCGCCTCAGTTTTAGTGGGTGTACGTTTACTAAAGAAGCCAAATCACACCCACAGTTCTAAAACCGAACTTAATTGTCTGATCCACTCATTTGTTGATTGGAGATTAGGAGTTCCTGATTGATAGGACAGCAATCTTTCTCCTATTACTCATTTCTTCTTATATCTTTTCTGTCTATACAGTGGAGATCCATAGGACCATAATCGTTTTTTGTCGAATATTCAGACCTGTTACCCTGTGAAGAGGGGGCAAAGGAATCAAACATAACAAAAGTAAGAAAAGGTGAGGAGAGTTACATATTCTATGATACCGGTGACTTTATCCCTTCGTTTCCCAGCAGAAATATCGTCACTCTTGTCCATGTACCCAGTTCAAGGACCAGTCATCCAGATCTGGTCCTTCTGCTATATCATTATTGTTGTTATTTTTCTCCCTCATCCCTTGTCGCAACAGAGATGAGAGCCAAGAAGACGAGCCCATTTCTGGCTGCCCTCTTCCCCTGTTGGCGTGATACAAAAGCCACTAAGTTCTCTCCACCATCCACTTCTTAGCGTATGTTTTGCCGCCGTTTTCTTTTCACTTCTGAGATGCTGCCACTAGCACGAGTATCGCCTTCTGAATATCGCTTTTTCTGGTTTCTGCGCTCGCCTGGACCTCATCTGCTCTATGCCTGTGGCTTCTAGCAATCCACTGGAATTCTTATGGGGATATATTTCCTCGCCTACTTCTGGCCACTCTCCGTTCCCCACTCATTCGTTCTGAAGATTACCCTATGATTCGGGCTTGTGTGGGGGGATGAGGAAGGGGGGGGCCATGCTAACGTGGTGCGCGTGTGCGTGCATTTTGACTGTAGTTAGGCCCGTTTCCACAGTCCACACACCCTCTATTACAATATTGTACCATCCGAGAAATCCTCAGTACGACTGCTAGGCTGTCGGCTTGGGTATCTCTTCAATTCCTAGCAGCAATCTTCCTATCTCTAACAATTGCATTCAATCCCCTCCGACTCCCACTGTGCCCGTTGGGCTAGGAATCATACCCCAATTTGCCTGACCAGAAGTATCCAGTATATTCTTTTCTTCTCTTTTTCTTCTCTCTCCATCTCTTCATTAATACCTTCAATCCTCACATACCTCGCTCTTCTTGTTCCTCTATCACTATTGTGTCTTTTCTTTTTGGCTTTTCCCCCTCTCTTTTTTCCCTTCTTTCCACTTTCTCTTGGAGTCCATTGCCCTCTCCCCTCCCTAGCCGGATCCCCCTTTATTAGAGCCCTTCTTCTGCCCATCCAACCATTTCACATTGAAAAGAATTTTGAAAGTTATTTCGCAGAGGGCACGGCATTTTCTAACACATGGACATATCATTTTCACTGCAGTGAAGTACTACTACAGCATCAAGAACAATTGCACGTAGGTAAAAGAACTTTGAGGAAGGTATGTGCTGTAATATCCTTTTCCTATACTGGATGGTTGGCACTATCCACTGTAGATAGTCGACTAACTGCTTCGAGGCTTGCTTTTGCACCGTGTTTCTGGTGCTCTAGGTCCTGTCATGACGAACACCGCAGATAGTGCTTCTTCAGACGATTCGAAATCAGCAAGGGCAGCACCAGGTGGCAGTCCATCGTCAAACCCTAAGAAAGCCGACTCATCGGCAACAGCAACTCAAAAGTCCGGTCAGTGCTACCTATTATAAGCGCAAGTTACTGAGCAACGGAAGAACTCGATACTGAAGCTGGCATCGTACAGACATTGGATTCCTACAGGACTCTCAACCACATAGTATACGTCAATACCCCGAAGATACTATTTGTGTGAGATATAATGGCCGTGGATTGCCTGCAGTGACGCCGAGCATGAGCAGCATGAGGCCCGCGCTACCCAGCTACCAAGCTCACACTGTTGTTTTGGACCGGTGTGTGATGCCACAGCGCTTTTTTCCCACAGGACCTGGTCATGGAGTGGTATACTCATCAATGCACCCTCTACCATTGTTCCCTGAGACAACACCAAACATGAACATGCCTTTCAATAACCCGTTCCCTCAAGCATATCCACTTTACTCACAGGAGTGGCAGCAGCAACAACAACAACAGCAGCAACATATGCCACCTCAGTATACTGGGTCTAGGTATCAGCCGATAGATTACAGCTCACCAGCGCACTTGGAAATCCCGCAAGCCGGATACGGGGAAACTCACTATGCTCCGCCTACGTATGCGGCATCTCATGGACAGAGTGCAGTTCAAGCAAACGTGACAATCCACTTACATTCACATCGCCCATCCCACAATACCCAAGGGAACCCCGCTAAAGCATCAGCAACTCTTTCAAAATGGTCCAAGTCACGTAGCCCAGAGTCAGACTATGACGTCTCAAAGACTATCGTGGATGGATCAATTCCTATGAGATCCACCCAAGCTCGACCTTCCACAATGGGTAAGTAGAAAAGGGAGAACTATGCGGCAGATTAATGGCTCATGGTCCACCTTTTCATAAACTGACACTCATTTGGCAGATGCAGCTCCACACCCAATCAATCTTACCAGGCCCATAACGCCGCGAGGGCCCCCAAGGAAGCCAAAACAATCTGGTCATGCTTTATGGGTTGGAAATCTACCCCCTGGGGCAGACATCAATGAACTGAAAGACTATTTCGCGCGGGATGCCACTCATGATGTTGAAAGTGTCTTTCTCATATCGAAAAGCAACTGTGCCTTTGTCAATTACAAGACGGAAGTGACTTGCCTTGCAGCGCTATCGAGATTCCACGACACGAGGTTTCATGGAGCACGTCTCGTTTGTCGACTACGTCGAGATTCGATGTCTCCTCCGCAACCCGATTCATCGAGTTTTTCATCTCAAGCTGAGAATGGTACTGATGCTATACATAACGAACAGAATGGAAATATGCTGGTGAAAAAGATCGCTGATAGTACATATTCGAGTCCTCGAATGCCAAACAGATATTTCATTGTCAAGAGCCTGTCTATAGATGACCTCGAACTGAGTAGACAAAGTGGGATCTGGGCAACGCAGGCGCATAACGAGGACAACTTGAACCAGGCCTATCAGGTGAGTCTTATATTCAAATCAAGGTGGAAGGCGACAAAGAGAAGAGAGTACCTTGAGTTAATACAGTTGGAAACTAGACTACGGATAATGTCTACCTTGTCTTTTCCGCCAATAAGTCTGGCGAGTATTATGGGTACGCTCGGATGGTGTCTCCAATCCAAGAGGACGATAGCTTGATTATGGAGGTGCTGCCTCGCCCTAGCCATGTCCAGGCCGAGTCCGAGGACTTAGATTTGATACCAACTCCAGCGACGTCCACCGCCCCAAATGGACGGATTATCAATGATCTTGCGCGGGGAACTGTGTTCTGGGAAGCAGACTCATCGGAAGATGAAGGCGGAAGCAAGATTGATAAGAACATCGCGGACGTAGCCGAGGAGGTAGCAGAGTCGGGCTTCCAATCTATCGGGAAACCGTTCCGGATCCAATGGCTTTCAACAGAACGAGTCCCTTTCTACCGCACACGTGGTTTGCGAAACCCTTGGAACGCAAACCGAGAAATCAAAATTGCCCGGGATGGCACAGAGATTGAGCCGACTGTCGGGGAGAGGCTTGTGCAGCTATTCCACACACCTTACCCTGGGTGAAGTGAAAGAAGAATGAGATGAAGAAGAATAAGCTAAGGCATTCTCGAGTAGGTTGATGCTCAGAATCTCACGGCTTAACCCCAAAGTCTCTCTCTATAAACGAATCAATACGTGAGTATGGTCTTTTTTGCTAATTTTATTCTTTGCTTTCCTCCCCATCTTTGGATGAAGGTAGAAGAATAATAGAAGACCACGAAAAGGGGGGGCGAAGGAAAAGAGGAAATATAGGAAAAGGTGCGGCAGAAGGGCAAAGAGGGATACATCATATAACGTTCTATGATTATTAGTGTAGTTAATAATAGCTGTCGCATCTTACGTTTGTGATGCTTAGGGTAGTAGAAAATGTTATGCTAAATAGACACTCTTGCTATACTTGACGTATATATTGTTCTATTTTGTAGTGCGGTGTGAGGAGTTGTATGAAACTTGTTATCCATGTTCTTACATGAGCTATTTAGTCTTGTGGAATATAGGGCCTTGGCTATATCTCTTACTGTACACCATTAAATATTAGGGTTTTAGGGAGCACTGTACGGAGTATTTGAATCTTAATATACAACATATAGATATATATATCTACTTTTCCTAATAATATATATGAATTTAGGGGCAGAGTTATAACTTTGAAAAGTATTGAATTTATTCTAATAAAAACAAAATATGCGCCTAAGAACTTGGAATATTTAGGTCTCAGACTTCTACGAGGAGTAGGAGGCCGCCTATTGATTGGTGGAAGGCTTCAGTACAGTTAACTAATCTTACTGACTAACATTAACAAGTATAATTCCTCGTCTAGAGGGTCTGCGCTTGTTGAAGTAAATAAGAACATGAGTAAGCTCCAACAGATCAGCGAAATCTTGGCTCCCTTTCCATTTCAGCTGAGAGCCTGAAACCAGACATTTAAGCCCTTCTCGGCAAATAGTAAACTGTAGGTGGTGGTAGGCTAACATGTGATCGGTGGGTCAAAACGGACAGATTGATAGAAAAATTGATCGATCGATATATACTGTGTAGATTCTAATCCTTAATTATTTGTCGTTTCCAATTTTCCTCCTCCGCCCAAGTTGTGGTCCTATTACGGATCCAATCCAATACCATGTTAACTAACAATAAACCCCCTTTATAAACCATCTGAATTGCTTATAGCGGAGCATTGCTTCTATGAAATCTTTATAAAAACTAGTTATAACTAGAAGTTTCAAAAACTGTATATAGTTTATGTAGTATATTTATTGGTTTTTCTACATAGTTAACGGCATTCCAATAGTAATTGACAGTGTGGTAGAGAGATAGAAATATATATTCTAGATGTTGGTGATAATGTGTTGTGTGGGAGAGATTGTAAATCTAAAATCACTACTAGAAAAAGGTAGTGAGGCATGTGATTATTTCTCCTAGTTGGTTATGTTTTAAATTATATAATTAGTTGAAGAGACCCACTTTAATCCCTTATAAGCAACTCTGGATGGAGGAATAGACGAAAATCCCTTTATCGGGGTTGCTTATAAGGGGGATTTTACCATATCTTTGGCCATTGACCTCATCAGTCATGGCGATGAGATGAATCATCGAGTTGCCCCCGGATCCAACCCCAAGGAGGCTAGACCGGTTCTGGCCCACGGTCAATCGTGGGGTAAAGTTACCTAAACCTTACTGTACAGGTCATTCTTCATCTGATCTTCCTTTTCACTCGAGATTACTCTTCGTTTTGTTAAAACCCCTCTTCATTTATCCTTCCTCTATTATCCCAACCAACTGTCTTTCCTAAGTACTACGTACTCTACCTATGAACTATTACCGGGGTACCGGTAAATCATTCCCTGGTAAAGTAGCTCCTAGGAGCTCCTGGCATGGTAGCTCCTTAGAAAGTCCTTTTGTGGTAGCCTTCCCCAGAGTTGGCGTTTTCTCCACTCCCTGAAAGTTCATACCATACACTGGCGAGTTTTGTGCCAAGAGAGAATCGATTGAATCCATTCATGCTCCCCCCTTCAACCACTGGAGCTCTCCACTCCCTCTGCAGCTAGCTGGTCGATCAAAAGGTATGAAAACCCGCTCTTTCCGCATTCCCTAGCTTCTCTCCTCCTCTGTTCCCTCCCGTTTCTTGCCTGGATTATCAAATAGCACCCCGTATCCCTGGCGGTGGCTCTGCCTCTGCCAACCGCAGCGACTTCGGCACCTTTTCCTGTCGCTCTTGCCACCACTACTGTTGCATCGTTAGGAATACATCCATATTTCGGTATCTTTGTGTGACATAACTGGCTGACTGATTCCCCCTTAACAGACCTGTGTGCACATTACGGAGTAAGGAACTCGCTTCTTCCTGTTCTGCACCGCTCTCTCCTTGCTAGTTGTTTACCACGGTTTGACGTCATACCGTGTTTGATACCCTGAGCACGAACCTGTAACCTCAATTTACGGTTAACATCTTCCGTCCGCATCTACTTGTTTATACTCGTGGAAAAGGGGGCGTCTTCCCCGGCTACGTGCTCATTTAGCCCGTCAACCATATCCGACACGCTTCCTGCCACACTCCCTCCTAAATCATCAACTCTGTTGAATAACCTCACAGGGTTGTTCACCTAGGTCTTCATAAGGATGTCGGGCGGTCGCTCGACTTCACCCATCTCTGTTCCTCCATCATCCCGACAGCGTCGAGCTTCCTTGGCGTCCGGCCTTGGCCTAGCTGATTATCTGTCGAAATCCGGGAATCAAGGGACCACCTCAAGCGTTCCAACGGGTCCAATGGCTAGTGCTGTAGCCAACGCACAGTCGCACCATGGGCGACGACTATCCATTACCACGCTAGGGCTTTCAGGCTCACCAACCCAGACTTCACCGTTTGGGGGAAGAAACTTGCGACATGGTAGCGTGTCTAGCTCCATGGGATCCAATCCCGCAAGCCTCGAGGACGCAGTCATAGAGGATAATGAGAATGGCCCTCCTAGTGCCACCCCGAGCTCTCCGTTCGCACGGAGAGTTTCTTTTGGCGCACAGGCATTGCGAGATGTCCGCGGAGGAAGCACAGGCAATGGTAGATATCCCTCTCCTAGGTCATCCATGGCTGGAGGGCGCTCATATGCGTCGCCAGTCAGCTGCACTTCTGTCAATACCACCGCTGTTTCAATAGCTGCAAGTACACATAAAGTGATTCCTGAGAACGATAGATCTAACCCGTCTTGGCGACCATTAGGCGAAGGCTTCAATTGGTCCGAAGCTCTTCGAACCCGCGCCGAGCGTGCCCCGTCGATTGGAAACAATTCCTCAAATACACATCAAGGACAGCATACAGCAAACACGGTTCAGTCTGGGCAGCATCAGCGAGCGGCCTCCATTGCTTCAATGGAACAACCAGCCCGGGAGATGCCCAAGCAACCCCGGCAAACTAAACCGGATTTCTTTCAGGAGAAAATACTCCGTGGAGATTTTATGGATTAGGCATGTGGACTTAAGTTCTTCCTACCTCTTCGTTCCTGTCTAGCACTCCATCTCCCCTTACCACAAGGACCAAAGAGAGACGGGCGAGGTGAAGGATCTAAAACAGGAATGGACACGAAAAATAAGCCATTGCAGCTGATCAATGTGGTACTTCCGATTCTGCATTCGCAAAGCATGTTAAGATCGGTTAGTCAGCTGGCTGCCCTTTTCATGATACACCCATCCGGTTTATCTACGGAATGAAAGATATTGGAGCCGATTTTGCAATTAGCTCCCGACTATTTTAGCACAACCCACAAATAGAAAAAATCATAAAAAGAGAGGGAAGCGAGGCGAGAGATCCAAAAGGGTGACAGTCTTTAGTCAAATTCGGGCACGAATCATTTTGTAATCAAGGTAATGATTGTATTGTTGATTTAGCGCATGCTTATCTTTCGTTCTTTTTCTCAGAACTCTGCTGGTCAGACCTCATGTTCATTGCACTCGCGATTCTAGGACACATGGTTGAAATGACCCTAGGTCGTCCTAAAATGGTTGTCGGTGTTATAACAACTGCAACAAACAAACAAAAACACACACACACACACACACACACACACACACACAGAGAGAGAGAGAGAGAGAGAGAGAGAGGGAGAGTTACACAGTTCTATTTACATCATTTGTTTTTCTTTTCTTTTTTCATTTCCTTTCTTTTGATCTGTTTGTAATTTGTTGTTCTTGTTTATAACATTTTCCAAATAGTTATAGTTAAGCATATGCCCGAAAAAATGAAGCAGTATGGGCTGCGTAGCCATTATTGCCCTGATACATACACGAAAGGGTAATGACCTTTCCCATTTCCCATTTTCCATTTGAATGTATGTCATAGCAGTTAATATCTTTAAAACCATGGTACTGTATATGTGCCTGGTTTGATAGTCTTTTGAATTAAGCCTATATGAAATGACAATACAAATGATGTAGGGTACTGATCCTGTGTGCAGCCCTGTTATTTCCACCTCCCTTAACTATTTAATTGTCACAACTCTTTTGTAATCTATAAGAATAAGTGCCCTTGAGTATAGGGAGTGGGCTCCCCCTAATATTCCCCAAGGGGTTTGAAGAGCGAATAAAATGAGTGGGGGTATCTATCCCCTGATGGGCAAAATATCTATAGCAATAAGAAATCAAAATATTCCGTACTCTGTAGTGGAAATATAACATTTACCATATAGTGTTAAGTTGATCAATATTAAACTTTTTCTCCATTTCGCGTCTGCGTTTTCCCCTGTTACCTGCGCCTTCTCGCACAAAGACTTTCAAAAAAAAAAAGGGAGGCAACTTTCAAATATTAGCGTGGTGAGCCCTGCAACGTTAGATCTGTGTTCAGCAATGCTCAACCCGATGATTAAAGGTTTCGACCATACGTTATTTTATGTTGTATTTTGTGTATCTATTTATCTAGTTTATTGACGCCTCCAACGGAAATAACCTGCTTTGGTCCTTGAACAAGCAACACCTGAATCCCTCAAACAAAGAGATGGAAGAGAAGGTCGCTCGTTATTGTTCTTGACTGGCAGTACACTGGGAAGTAAGCTACTCGAGAATGGTGCAATATAGAGTATTTGAAAGACCCGTATTTCAATATAATGAGGGAGTTAGGACTTTAGTCCCACTCCCACCTCCCCATCCCCGCCCCCTTGAAGAAAGAGATGAAAAGTGCTTAAAGACGTTCTTGGTATAAGGACGAAACCGAAGAAAGGTGACAGGTGAGCACAATTACGGCGGTATCCGATCCGACCTAGTAAGGGATACCATTCGTCAACAACTGAAATTGATCATAACCCTTAGTAGAGACACTCATGTAGGATTTGCGGACAAGCTCCCGCATGTATTCGGCCGCATCTCTCTCGCTCCTCTCCAAAACAAATCGGTCCCGGAAGTTCTTCAGTGTATCAGGCTTGAAACAGGGTAAGCCACTATCAAGCATCAAGGAGACAATGTGGGCTAATTTGGCACTGTAGGGGCGGGATGCAAGGAACGCCTTCACAACCAATGACTCGAACCACCGATAGGGTTGTGTGCTTGTAGGGTTGTAAGAATTACCACCGGAGGCATGAGCATGCGTGTGTTGAGTACCGCTCATCACGGCAACCATTTCAGAAGTGAGTTTGAACGGTGCGCGCTCGAAGCGAACGCCTCCAGGCGCAATATCGAAGCAGAATCCAAAGTCAATGTGTATAATGTGACCAGCATCATCAACCATGATGTTCCCGTTGTGGCGATCCTTGAACTGTAGAAGATAGGAAATAACAGAATATGCCGCCATGCTCTTGACAAAATTAGTACGTGCCTCCTGGAACTTAATAGAGTCCTCGCCGCCGTACTTGGAAACGAAATAATCATAGAGCCCATTCACTGCCTCACGACCCAGCATGTCACGAGAAATTGAATTAGGGAGGACATCAATAACACCACATCCGGGAGCTGTCGAAGTTACTCGGTAGGGGAATACCCAAACATCAAGCCCGACACTACTGAAGATGCTCCGGAAAGCAGCAATCATCTGCAGGGCCAACATGTCCTGACGGCAGTCGTCACCGACTTTGAAAATTGCCGACTGCCAAACCTCGTAGGTCTCTTGCTCCAAGTCCAAGCGAGCTTTTTGGTCCTGAGTCAAAGCGTGTTGTCCTGAAAGACTTATGGCGCCTCCTGAATCAAATCGAGTCCTCGTCTTTTGGATTCTGAAAGTCGCCATGTATGGAGCTTTTGCGTGGCTTTGAAGTGGTTTCCCTGACTTGCGATCGATGCCGACAACAACGCCATCGGGATTGCTAGGGAGGTAAACACCGACCTCCACTTTGATTTTGCGAAGCTCTTCCTCAATTTTTTCTTTCTTCTCGGGTTTACTTCTTTTGATATACGGCCGGAGCTTCCCTGAGATACCTGTGATGTCATTGAAGAAGGAGAATTCCCTTTCGTAGAAGTCGCGTTCCTCGTGAGTGAAGCTGGCAATGAGAGAGTCCATAAATTTGTCCAGGGTTGGCTTGAGTGGATCCGGCTGTTTTCCATATGTTAACAAAATTGTTCCAGATAAGGGTCGCTTCACTCACAATTTGAGAATCCTCGTCTTTGTATGAATTGGCTTTCATATTCCAAATTGCCTGGTGCGCAAATAATTGAGATTGTTTAGCTGTTTCCATGATATAGCGCTCTACGTAACCTAACGCATCATATCGTAGAGCCTGCACCAATTGTGGAACAAAATAGAAACGAACGTCAATTGAATGACTTTCCAATGTTTTCATCGCATACTGCAGGATGAAGGGGTGATTTCCATAAGCAGGTAAGAAATATGTTAGAGCTTCGGTGGGATTCACGGGTGCCCAGTAAAGCAAATACTGTTTAAATTAGCCTTGAACTGAGATGAATCTATCGAGTATGTACGTAACCCTACCTTCAACTGGAATGAGACATCTGCAGGAAGAGTAGCACCGAGCATGATTTCAAGGCTACTGGGCTCATCGATAACCTTTTCCGGGAAGTTGAGCAATAACCAACGAATATCATTCTTCAGCTTCACGGATGGGAAACGTGCACCAAGTTGAATGGCTAAACCCGGATGCTCAGCCCAAGCAAGCCGTAACAAAGAAGTGGCCTCCTGAGGTAAAATTAGACTCTTACTTTGAGAGGGCTTGGGGAAAGGAGAACGAAATGGGTGTTGCAAATAAGGCCAACGAACCTCCATAAAGTTCTTGCTCCCAGAAGACTGAGGCATGTAGTGTTTACGATCTTGATCCAAAGGATATAGCCAAACCTTGAGACGTGACCTCTCATTTTCAAGAAGGGCATAGAGCAGATCTTGTTTTGCCTGCAGTGACTTATACGGTCCCAGCGTGTGACAAGCGACATTAGAGACATTAACCAGAGCAGACGCGACGTCACTAAGGACTTTATCTTCAGCCTTGATCTGCAGTCGATTGCCTCCGAAGGACCACCTGCAGATGCACACATTAGAAAATAGCTTCGGCAGCATGTGATTTAATGACAACATACCTAGGTGGATGTCTAAACCAACTCAGGGCGGCAGACAAGAGTTGGTCTTTAAGCTTCCAAGAACAGGCCGGGTCCACCGAACTGAAATGCTTCAGGACCTTAAGACCAAACAAAATGATACGAAAGTGAAGCTCGCGAGATAGGGGATGCCCGCTCGTTTGCATAAGGCCGACAGAAGTCTTGTCAATGAGGCGACAAAACAGTTGTTGATCTTGTAGGTTTCCTAGCTGAATTGCACTGAAGTGGCTCTCAAAAAACTGGAGAACATGTGAGTGCGGTGAGAGAACCTTGTGGGCTTTTTGTTGTTTTTGTAGCATCAGTGCCTTATCAGTAGGCAGGAGCTCAATCTTTGCGTACAGCGGATCAACATAACTAAGTTGTAACGAGTCAGTTTCAATGGTACAAGATGTAAGAATAGGGACCTTACTCAAAAGATGGGTCGAACAGACCCTTCTTACGCAAGATTGTCTTCTCCCATGCCTCAGCTACCTCAACTAGAATCTTGGGCTCCACAGTTGGATTCTCATGGATCGCCCCCAGCCACAGAGAGATTCCGAGGTCTATTGACTCCGTCGAGAATAACTCAAAGGGTAAAGACACAAGGTAATGAGGAATAGAAGGATGATGATCACCACCACAGCACAAGAGAGCGGCAGCCTTCCGCAACCCATCTCTAACCTCCAGGAATGAAACTTCATATCCCAGGCTAATCTGCTCATATATGTAGGATAGCCTATTCTCAACAACATCTTTTGACTCCAGCTGAAACAACAGAGACGCATTGATCCTGGGGCCTGAAATTGTTTGATCAGCTCAATAAACTTGTTGAATTGATAAGGATACACTGACTGTTTTCCCATCCTAGAAATTTAGATAACCGCGTATCCGGATATCGATATTTTTGGCGTGTAGTGTACTGGGCCATGAATTCAGAAGCAACGTCGACCCTGTTGATCCCATATGGCTCAATTGATCCTAAGCAGAATTGAGATGTATTAGGAATAAGTCTTGACTGTACACTGATGAGCTGGTGAGCTTACCCAGCCGCTGATCGCTTTTGGAGATGAGCGATCCCATATCAAGTGCAAACGATCTACCCATAGAAATATTGCCAAAGCCATTGCTGTCCTCGGATGCGGATAAATAGGTCTAGCCACTAGTGAGATACATGCTTCAGAAAACAGAATTGGGACATACCTGAAGAAGACCCTTGATATCTAGGGGAGCGATATCCATCACGGCCGTGACCCATGCCCGAGCTCGTTCGAGGAATACATCCAAAGTTTTCCTTCTAAAGTGATAGTTATCAGGTAAGTCAACTTTGACTATTCCCGTGGGTGAAGTGAACGAGGGTTTCCACTCGAATTCATCGAGTTCTTCTTCAAGGCAAGATTGCCACATAACTGTCAAAAGTTCGAGGAGGGCAAAGAGAGAGTCTTTTTCACATAGAGCTGATGGGCATTCATTGATGATCTTATTAGCGCAGAGTACAGCGACGTTCTGTACTCTTTCTACTCTATGACAGCAAGCCACAAAGAAACCACCCAGTTCCTTCGACAAGAATGGGACCGAGAAATCTTCATGTCTACCAGGTAGCGTCAGCGAGACATAAGTGTTTACCACTTTCTCTGCAATTGCAGTCATGCAGCTAGCCATCTCGATGGTAGTTAAGGCCGGGTCCCGGAAGTAACTGAGGACTTTAGTGCAGTTTCCTGAAGATGCACGGAGACTTTCCACCAACAACGCTGCATTAAGGAAAACTGCTTTTGGATAATTCAAGCGTTTGATCTCAGACTCGCGGCTGGGAAGCTCTGTAATCAGGATTTTCTTCTGTTCCACGAGACGCTGTGGCCCCATGCCACGTCTGAGAATTGTATTAAGCTCCACGTCACTTTCAAGCATTTCCATGCGGTCTTCAGAAACAAGTGGTGGCGAATATTTTGCCAATATGCGCAGCTCCTTCATATGGGTTCGAGCAACGGCCGAGGTAAGTGAGATCCCGTGAACAGCAATGTTGAACCAGGCATCACGAAACAAAGTAGATATGTCCTGGTCATAGTCTGCAATATCCGCGCAGTTTCTAGGAGTCGCTCGATCAGAGACAAGCAACGCAAGTGGTTTCAAAAGGGGGCTGAGATCGTTAGGAGCCAAGGTAATTTCTTTTTGGCGCTCATTCTCAAAATCCGTCGCGTCTCCCTTATTTACGATGCTCTCTAGCAAATGAGTCAAATATGTCCTGTAAATGGGGGTGTTTCTCTGTAGTGTGACAGAAAGGTAGGCCATTGCGCTCTCTACCGCGTTAGCAACGTTGCTATATCCCTTAGTGACCCCATCCCAGTAGGCCCGGTCGTAGAATTTGAGAAGAAGGTGAAATTCGCCTTGAGCTGTGCTCAGAGATAACGCAGCTGTTTCCTTGATGATATAGGCATCAACAGAAGCACAGACTTTACCGATCTTTTGGAGTAGCATTGATTGTGCTAAGGCGCATATTTTTTCGTCATTAGAATGTGTAGCAATCGTCACGATGGCGTGGACAACGTTTCTGTAATGCACACTGCCTTCCTCGCCAGTGACAGAAAGAGAGGCCTCACTATCTTGCTTCGCTTGGGAGAAGCTGGTAAAAGCATTGCTATGGCCAGGAACATCTCCCGTTGACTGTCCATAATATACTTTCTCGGTGCCCGAACCAGGACTCAGAACATTCCCAAGTGAGTACAAAGTCGTGATAACAGCATCTTGAGACAAAACACCAAGAACTTGGGCAAGGCATTTCGCAGCAACAGAAGCTGTCTGCTCAGCTGGAATGCCACCTTCGACAATGAACCTCAAGAGAGAGCGACTTCCGGAAGAAGCGCTGTTTAGTGACATTCGTGCAACTATTGCTATGCTTTTTAAAGTTGCCGTTGCAAGCTCGGGGCATGACATTTGATTCGGATCCGCCAAAGTGTTCTCTAACCAAGACAGGAAGTCTTCGCTATTTACCCTTCCACTCAAAACACAATTTAGATACCCGATAAAGGCGAACGCCTTCACTGAGTAAGTCAGTCGTTGCTGCAAGTGTGAGCCAAGCTGCAGATAATCAGAATCATCCTCTAGTAGCCTGACCTGATCATCGATGATCTCTGCCGTACGATTGATAAGAGCGATTTCGTCCGTATCGTGGCTCCTAGCGATGCCAACACCACCCATATAATCGTCCAGCAATTCATCCTCTGACATATTGTGTGCTCCAACGAGTGAAGTTGTACACGCTTTGACAAAGCGCATGAATCCTTCCTGCAGCAGCATAGCTCCTAAAGGGCGTCCATCGGCAACATAACGCCGAGTGTATCTCCTCCAATCTCGAAGCATGTTGTCAGACATATTTGCATTACGTACGATAGATGATGCTGTCTCGACAGCAACCATAAAGCCCCCGGACAATATTAACCGCATATTCTCGACTATCCTTAATTTCTCGATGGCTGTCCAGAAGGAAGCAAACCTAGTAGAGGCCTCCAGAAAGCCAACCAGGGAAACTGTCATCGATAATATACTGACGGCTTCATAAGCCGTGCCGGGATAATCTGACCCGGAATCATGATGTGTGAAAGGCGTCGCAGCTTGAACAGATTTGGCGCAGTGCTCCAGGTACTTATCAACCGCATTGAGAATAGTCTCTCGCAGCAACGGATATCGAGATTCGGAGCCCAATGAAAGAAGAGCCATGGTGACATTGTTGGTGAGTGCCTCCCAAGGGGAAGGTTTTATGTAATGCAGGAAAGGCGAAGGACGGAAAAGCTGACTGTGGGCCTCAGGAAGGTAGCGAGATAGCTGTGCAACCAACCTAGAGGCATGCTCGGGCTTGTCCACAGAAGGAGAGGCTTTACACAATGCGATTAATACATCTAGTTCTCGGATGCCCTACGAAAGTCAGTATATGTGTTTCTGGCTGATGTATGAGATGCAAGCGTTGACGACGGACCATAGGCACCCGCGATGTTGGCGCCTGATTTCGTAAAACACCATTCAAATCACGCGGATAAGACGTCGAAAGTTGTAATTGTCGAGAGATGCGGGTAATGTCTGATTTCTCATCACCCTCCGGTGATCTGACTGCTAGCGTTGCAAGCTTCCCCAACGCGGAGGGTCTGATTGATGCGGAGAATCTGTTCCAATCAGCGCGCGACTTTCCAAGCGATGAGATCAAGACTCACTCGTCCATTTCAACGACAACTTCAAATAGATTACAGAGCGTAACTAAGCCAATTCCTTGTTTCCCTCAACCTTGTAAGAGGCAAAAGGGAGAAACGGTAGAAGCCCCCCCTGAACGGCAGACGATTCTAGTGGTAAAAAGTGCTCTCGGAGCTGAGACTGTACATACTAGTACGTGTTCCCTCCCCGGACCCACGTGGGAGGCCGAACTTACCTTTGTCTCTGTCGTCCGGACTCTTGGCTTAACTAAATTACGACCGACCTAGGTCCTCGGGTTTTTAGGCCAACTCACATCAGCTAGTCACGGCAAAAGCCGGTAGATGGACGAGAAGAACAAGCACCCGTGCGAAACTGATATAACACGATATATACTCCGTACTTGGTTCAAAAAACGTGCCTCTCAAGCTCCTGAATTAGAGGTATTAGGTAATAACGCTATAGTTAACGTATTCGGTAAGCACCCTGCGCATGCAAGTACTTCAACAACGCCGAGGATGTCTCTCGTCGACGTCTTGTAGAGCTTTGGAGAGAGTGAGTACGGGAAGCACTTGCACAAGGAATCCTTGCATACGCAATCCATACTCAATCTTCCTCTATCTTTTGTGTGTGTTCCATATAAGATAGACGTCTTTATACTCTCATCGTTGCGACATACCCTGCGCAGCTCTGTATTCCATACAAATCAATCCTTTTTACTACTTGAATATCTCAGCAACTAGAGATAGTAAAGATACAATAATTAATATATAGTAGAATATAGGGTAAATAAGACTATTGATAAATTTTTTTTTAATTTTTTCCTTCTTAACTTTACTCTATAAAGTAGAATATCAAAAATACTGCTGTAATATTCAATACTGAAAGAAGTATTCTTTATATAGGCTTCTCTACTTTATATATAGTAAGAATTAAGTACTATTATATACTTTTCTTAAAAATTTAGATTATTATAGCTTGTGGTTGCTGAGATATTCGGATAGTAAAAAGGTTTGATTTATATGGAATACAGAGCTGTGCAGGGTACTTGCGTGTGCAAGGGTGCTTACCGAATACGTTATAGTTAACCTAAAGATCAGTCTCAGTTAAGTTATACCTGCCAATGTCAGTGCAGTGCTACCTAACTAATCGTATCATTCCTTTTTTTGGACTGTAACAAGAACTGGACTCTAGGGGTTATGACTATCTGCCATCACACTATGCAAACAGATTAATGCTAGCATCTTTCAAATGAGCTTTTTTTTACGGTCCTTGTGTAAGAGAAAAGGTCTCAGGTAGCCGGTAGATGGTACATACTAAGAAGATATTACTACCCCTTGTTGTCAACGAATGGCTTATGAAGAGTACTTGGTTGAAAGATACGCGTTAGCGCACCTTCCTCGCAGAACTCCAAGTCCCAATAAATCTTGAGCTAGTAGGCATCACGACCACAACAAGTCGACTGTACCTTTTTCTTCTTCTTCTCCTACTCTTTCCTCTTGTTCCCTTGAAATCTCGTGGTCCCCTCTTGGTTTTTTCCCCTTATCTTCCTTACTTCCATCCTAAACCAAAGCATAATTACGGGAGTCAGTGTTACCGCGTAAGAGAAGAAACAGGTCCTTTTGCGTCACTCTGCTCTACATCGCTCCGCTTTGCATCAACCAAAAACCCAGATTTACCACCGTACTAGCTGCTTTGATGACGAATTTGGCAATTATTTAGCCTAAGGCAGACACAAAGCAAAGAAGAAAAATGGCACCACAGAACGAAAAGAGCTCTCTTAAACGCAGTAGGGTGGGTGTTTCTTGAACGGATCCAATACAGGTCACTGAAGATGCAAATATCATATAGGTTAGCACGGACCATGATTCACAAGATTTGAAAAAGCAGCGGCGCTCCCAGAGTACCACAACCCAAGGTCAATCCCAGACTACGCCAGTGAATCAGTCCTATTTACCTACGCCTCTGACCCAACAAAATTCAACCACGACGGACATTACGAAAGAAGTCACGGCTTCACCTGGTAATTCCAGCCAGGTGCGCTGCCAAACGCCGCTCAATTCAGATTCCCTCCAAACGTGTTCGTCTCCTCCTGGCGATACGCAGGCTCAATCACAATTTGTATACCCACCCAGAGCATTTGCCGACGAAGTCGAGGATGAGGCCGCTGAGGGGGTATGGGGCTACCTCATCCCGCTTGATGAAAAGGTTCGGAGGCCCCTTGTTCTGAGAAAACGAGATAGTTGTGAAGGCCCTGCGGATGCGAAATCCAAAGGCAAGACTGGGAAGGCGACTCGACGGCAAGGTAAATCATCGGAGGACAAACAAGGGAAGAGCCATTCTACCGGCGGTTACTTAATTGGTCGCCATCCGGAATGTGGTAAGTAGCAATTTCAAGCGTGATGTAACATTGTGTGACTGACATCGATATATTCAGACTTGGTGATTAACGTCCCCACTATATCAAATCGACATTTCTTGATTTTCCCAGAAAACAGTAAAGGTGGATCAATTGCGATAATGGAGGACCTGTCCAGCAATGGTACTTTTATTAATGACGCAATCGTTGGGCGTAACAAGCATCGTGAACTTGAAGACGGGGATGAAGTCACTATCTTGGATGAAGCACGGTTTGTTTTCAGGTACCCTCGCACGAGGGAAACAAGCGGGTTCCGCCAGCAATACAGACTTCTTCAACAACTTGGGAAAGGTCACTTTGCAACTGTCTACCTCTGTGCAGAACGGTCTACAGGAGCGCAATACGCCGTTAAAGTTTTTGAGAAACGTCCCGGAGATTCTCAAAAGTCCCAAGTGGACGCTTTACAGCAAGAAATAGGTCTGTTGATGGGTGTTAGCCACCCAAATTTACTATGCCTTAAAGACACGTTCGACGAGAGTGATGGTGTATATCTCGTTCTGGAACTTGCTCCAGAAGGGGAACTCTTCAACTTGATCGTTAGCAAGCAGAAGTTTTCGGAGACGGAAACGCGCCATACATTCGTTCAGCTTTTCGAAGGGTTAAAGTATCTGGTAGTGTCGAAACTATCCATTATTCAGTAACAATAGCTAACCTAGGCAATAGCATGATCGTGGAATCGTCCATCGGGACATAAAACCTGAAAATATACTTGTTGCAGACAAGGATCTAACTGTGAAGCTAGGTGATTTTGGCCTTGCGAAGATTATTGGGGAAGACTCATTTACAACAACTCTGTATGATGCAACTCTATGTCCCTTTCCCTTCACTCCTTTGCTTCATCGGGGTACTTTTCATGCAGGGATTTTAGCTAATGTTCCTTACTCGTAGATGCGGAACGCCAAGCTGTAAGTCGCTCCAGAAAGGCTGGTATGGCACAGTTGATACTTATATTGTAGATGTGGCACCAGAGATATTACAAGATTCCCGCCGCCGCCGATACACGAAAGCTGTGGACATCTGGTCCCTTGGCGTTGTTCTCTACATATGCCTTTGTGGATTTCCTCCTTTCTCCGATGAGCTTTATACTGCCGAGAGCCCGTACACTTTAGCGCAGCAGATCAAAATGGGTCGCTTCGATTACCCATCACCCTACTGGGATTCTGTGGGCGATCCGGCTCTAGATCTCATAGACAAAATGCTCACCGTTGATGTCGACAAGAGAATTACAGTGGACGAATGCCTAGAACATCCATGGCTTACTGGGAAATACCCTAGTGTTTCTGACAGCACCGATGGGCTGACTGGAGCTTTGGGAAAACTGGACTTCTCGAAACGAAAAATCGCACGGGAACGCACACTCCTTAGCACTGTGAATCATGTTAATTTCAGTGAGCACATGGAGGAAGGTGCTATTCCGATTAAAGTTTTCCACAAAAATAACGCCGGAAAACGTGTACACAATCGGCCTGCCAAAGCTCAGAAGCGTGAGGTGTCACCTGACGACAATAGTGCCCCTAATGATTTTATCAACCTTGGGGAGCGTGGAGATCCGGTGTTGTTCAAAGAAGATCCCGCCAGTCTGTACAAATGAGAATTTGCTAGGTGCCCCTGGGTTACTGTCCTTATAGACTATTCTATTCTGCTATAGAGTTCCTGGGCCAGGAACAAACGATGGATATCACCACAATCGAAAGATGGGTATCGTTAAGGTCTATTTTAACATTGCTCTGCATTCTGCTAGATATGCGATAGGTCAAATCTGAGGACTAGTTGTCAGTTGATATCATATATACCAAACCATACTGCCATGCATGGCATCAGGCAACTGGCTCTCAAACGGGTGCTGTCTTTGTTCGGAACTCGACAAAAGCCTGTGTAGGCATTGAGTTCGGTGTTATTACTTCCACTGATGGACAGTTCTTTTAAGGATATAATTATCATAAAATAATACTACTATGGGACACACTTGCTTCCCTTATACCTCCCTGCGTTATGCCCTGATCTGTTTGTAACATTCAAGTAATAACTGGCTCATACTGTAGATCTTCCGGAACTGTAAATAAACATAATTGAAAGTATTGGTACTAGTACCTAGTACTAAGTAGGTACGTACTGACAGAGCAGTGCGTAAAAGTGCCTTAAGGTGGCTACCAGGTTAAAGTGGCGTGATGTGAAATCCGCGTTGTTGCCATTCGTTGGTCCCGAGTCGCCAGGGGTTCCTGGAAATGCCCCACACGCCCGCGCATGGTACGAGTAGTTACTTAGTAGTTCTGTTTGTTACTAGTTTGGTCTTTTTAATGAACGGAGAAAATCACTGGCGGGCGGATCGGGCTACCAAAACGAGAGGTACCTAGTCTACTCCGTGCTTCTCTTTTTCCCACCCACTCGAAAGTTTAGTCTATCCCTCAGATTTGTCCGTTATCTCTAAAACTCGAAGAAGCGTCACAGGTATATCTAATCCGCTGAATTTCTTCCAAGAGGCCTTGGAGGGCGCCTCTGTCCGAGACACTTTCCCTTTCATGCCATTATTCCCCCATTCGTTTACCTGGTGTCCCCTACTGTTCCACAATCATGGGTCTCCTAGCTGTTATTCTCGACAGTGTGTGTGAGCGCTGCTCAAATTCATCGCTATGGATGCTCACCGGTGTGGCATTGCTATCCATTCTCATTGTGTCTGTGATCATTAACGTCTTGCGGCAACTTCTCGTCAAAAAATCTAATGAACCCCCCTTGGTCTTTCATTGGTTCCCTTTTATTGGAAGTACCATCAGCTATGGCATGGATCCATACAGATTTTTCTTTAAGTGCCGAGAAAAGGTACGCTAACCCTGCGGCATTCATTGATTGCGCTGACATTCTTACTACCGCAGTATGGCGATATCTTCACTTTCGTCCTCCTCGGTAAGAAGACAACCGTCTATCTGGGCACCAAGGGCAACGATTTCATTTTGAATGGCAAACTTCGAGATGTTTGCGCCGAAGAGGTTTATTCCCCACTTACAACTCCTGTGTTTGGGCGTCATGTGGTATACGACTGCCCAAATGCTAAACTTATGGAGCAGAAAAAGGTAAGCAAAGTTCACCATAATAGTAGCAACACTAATTCATTTTATTAACAACTGTAGTTTGTGAAATTTGGACTTACATCAGATGCACTCCGTTCGTACGTTCGTTTGATTACAGAGGAAGTGGAAGACTTCGTACAGAAGTCCTCGGCATTCCAGGGCCCCAAAGGCGTTTTCGATGTCTGCAAAACAATTGCTGAGATTACCATATACACCGCCTCACGTTCGCTTCAAGGAAAAGAAGTTCGAAGCAGATTTGACTCCACGTTTGCTGAACTGTATCATGATCTCGACATGGGTTTTGCCCCCATAAATTTTATGTTACCATGGGCCCCTCTACCCCATAACCGCAAGCGTGATGCCGCCCAGAAAAGGATGACTGAAACATATATGGAGATTATAAAGGAACGCCGTAAGGCTGGCAGCAAAAAGGATTCGGAAGACATGGTCTGGAATCTCATGTCCTGCGTCTACAAAGATGGGACACCTGTCCCCGACGAAGAAATTGCACACATGATGATTGCCTTACTCATGGCCGGCCAGCACTCTTCTTCATCTACTGCGGCTTGGATTGTCCTGCATCTTGCAGCATCCCCTGAAATAACAGAAGAGCTCTATCAGGAACAACTCCGCATCCTTGGACACGACATGCCTCCACTCACTTATGAGAACCTACAGAAATTAGACTTACACGCCAAAGTCATCAAAGAAACTCTTCGCATACATGCACCAATCCACTCCATCATTCGAGCTGTGAAGAATCCGATGCCAGTGGATGGTACCCCCTACGTGATCCCGACCTCACACAATGTCCTTTCCTCTCCCGGCGTCACTGCAAGATCAGAAGAACATTTTCCTGATCCGCTTGAGTGGAACCCCCACCGCTGGGATGAGGCCATCGCTGCTAGCTCTGAAGATGAGGAAAAGGTTGACTATGGCTACGGCTTGGTTACTAAAGGAACCAACAGCCCGTATCTTCCATTCGGCGCCGGGCGACATAGATGCATCGGCGAACAGTTCGCTTACGTGCAGCTCGGTGCGATCACGGCGGCTCTAGTGAGGTTATTCAAGTTCAGCAACCTTCCAGGTGTTCAAACCCTTCCAGACACTGACTACTCAGTAAGCGACGCCACCTATGCAACCTATAGTACCTCACTAACGGAATTATAGTCATTATTTTCCAAGCCTTTGGGCAACTCAGTGATACAATTTGAGAAGCGCGAGCCCGTCACCAAGGCGTAGTGTTCCTTTGACCTGTGCAATATACAAATATACGTGGTCATATTCCTCATGATTTGTGCGAGATGACTCTGAACGTGCCTGGAAGGCAGACCGAGCAGAATCAAGGTGGAGGGACGCTTACACGTTTGTATTATGGCCTCTTGTTCCGATGTCTACAATGCCACCGAACGATCTATGTAAATTATCTTTTGCATTTAATATCGGGGGCTAATTTTCAGGAAGCTCCATTTTCCTATTAGACTATTTTAATTCAACGTTATGACCTAAGCCTGACTGTTGGAAGATATCACCTAACAGCGCACACGGATCAATGTGTGCAGTTATACAGTGCCAGAAAGTGTGCACTCCGGTAGTATAGCTCTTAGTCAATGAAGTGGTGCTATTGCGATTCAAACCCCAAACAAGTACAGTAAACTATTATAAAGGTAAGACAATTATTCGCCGCAGTTCTCATAAATTCATGAGATTTATGCTGTTCCCTTCCTCCTTTCCTCACTCCTCTTTTTAGCCCTAACCTCGGCACGTCTCCTTTCACCACCATCCACCTTGTGTCCCAACTTATCCTCCCACATGCCTTCCTGGACTTTTATTAGAGCTGCGCAGTTATCTGTGCCTTTGATTGGTTGTAAGAATGGTCCACTAAGCATGGAACCACGATGGATCTTCACGTGCGCGAACTTTCTGAGTGGTTTCGATGGGTCGTGTATATATTCGGAAGCATCAGGTGGCAGATTGACAATCACTTTCCTCATCCCTGGAGAGAGCGTGGCCGAGGAGTTGGAGAGGCCGGAGGTTTGATAGTCCGTTGTCAATGGAACCTCAATTACGCGCAATTGGGCTGTACCATCAACAACATGTTCCAGGTCACCACCCGGCCCAAAGACTCCATTCCTGAATTTCTCCCTTTTCCGGAGCAGATAACGCCGTTGACGAGTCGGCTCAATGCCAATATCCCGGAGCTCAGCAGAGCTGAGGGTAAACAGCTTCTCCCATGAGGGCAGCTTGCTTGCATGTTTAGTCATGCCACGGCCAATCAACGTAAGAAATGTTTCGACGTCAGGGACAAATGGTGTTGGCGAAGGCACAGAAGGCGTAGATGCGTGTTTATGGAAGCATCGCACACATTGTTTGCCGATGGCCAGAGGCCTGATGAGTCGTGAAGATAAAAGAAACGAGTTACGCATCGCCATAACCGGTCGCGTTGTGATATTTTCCAGTAGTTGGTGGGTCAAGATTATGCTTGCAAAAGCTAGTAGGCAGGAAGCGAAAGGAAGAGATCGGGATGTAGGCAATGGAAGCTAGATGATTTTGCTGTATCAAGAAAAGAACAAAAGCTGACTTTCCACTTGAACTGTATTGTCCGAAATTTCGGTGACAGCCGCATTTTCAGGATCAACAAAACTCCGAGACTTGGTAATTCATGCTTAGTACATAGAGTAAGTGCCGGCCACCACAAACACATTGGCATCAAGAAGCATATATTGTTGTGAATGAGTAGGGCAATAACGAAACGAATCGAAAAGAAAAGCACTGTAATGCTAAATTTACGCAGCACAATAAGATTCGGCTGGTACTAAAGCTATCAGACAGCAAATCCATGGTCAGCACTTTATTCTATAAGTTCTCAGTTTAGCGCTGTCTCCCGAGCTATAGCCTCGAAGCACGGTCAGAAATACAAGTTGACTATTCCACCGATCTTCAAGCCATGGCAATTTCACCTTTACCACCCCAGTCTCCATCAACCGCGACGGCAGCTTCCGACGCCGCAGTTAAGTTCAAAGCTGCTCAGAGCTCATCCAATCCGCAGGGCAACACATCTTCGCCTTTTATCACACACGGCGCTGATCGTGAACTAACTGAACAATTAAATGACGATGTGCGGCATAAGTATATCAAAGGTGAGATATGTCACCCTTCTTCGTGCATACTTATGATTCCTCTTAAATGTCTCATGGCACTAATGAACGAGTCGATAGACAAGAAGCTAGGGGAAGGAACCTATGCCGTCGTATACCTTGGTCATCTTCGAGCTGATGCTTCGTCCTTCGTGGCAATTAAGAAGATCAAAGTTAATGCTGAATACAAAGATGGGCTTTCCATGGATGCAATCCGGGAAGTGAAATATTTACAAGAATTATCACATCCAAATATCATAGCGCTCCATGATGTCTTCTCCTCCAAGGACCAAAACCTCAACCTGGTTCTAGAATATTTGCCACGTGGTGACCTTGAGATGCTCATTAAAGACGGAAATATTCACTACGGCGCAGCTGATGTCAAGGCGTGGATGGGAATGCTTGCTAGAGGTGTCTGGTTCTGCCACGAAAATTTTATTCTCCATCGAGATATAAAACCTAATAATCTTCTCATTGCTACCGATGGAGAGGTGAAACTTGCAGATTTCGGTTTAGCTAGATCATTCGCTGACCCTTACTTGAATATGACACACCAAGTTATCACCCGCTGGTATCGGCCGCCTGAATTGCTTTATGGAGCACGACAATACTCGGGCGCTGTAGACATCTGGTCCATGGGAATGGTTTTTGCGGAGCTTCTCTTGCGAGTACCATTCGTCGCAGGAAATTCTGATCTCGATCAGATATCCAAAGTTTGCGAAGCATTTGGCACGCCAACTGAAGACAACTGGCCAGGAGTCACTAGGCTGCCCAATTATATACCCGCAGATAAAAATCACATTGTTCCTATACAGGGTCGTGAATTTTTCTTCAGACAGTTCCCGACTGCTGGTCCTGTCGGCGCAGATTTGCTCATGTCGATGTGTACACTGGATCCGAGAAAACGGAGCACGGCACGTCAAGTTTTACAACACAATTGGTGGTTTACTGAGCCAAGACCGACAAATAAGGAAGATCTCCCCAAAAAATCGGATGGAATTCAGAAAATGGGCAACGATTTGACGAGAAGAGGCGGAGATATCGACGACAATACATTCAAGAACACTGCCCGACAATTGGATTTTAACGCAAAGCAATAGCAGATCTGTTTCATCTGACTGGAAGTGCCATCAGATTCAGTACGACACCAACGCGTTTTGCTCATGCCCTTGAAGTACACCAGATGATATACCATTGTTTTATCATCTGCGTAATTAGTCGCCGGGCACATGAAGATTAGTGCCTAGCAGGGCAAGCCTAGAGCCATCTAGACAAACTATTTCCTAAATTCGGGTCCGTATTGCGCATGAAATTCCTTTTTATTTCTTTGTTGGCAGCTCCGTCAGAAGTTAATTTCTGTTGAACAATTTCGGTGATCAGACCACTAGTCTGTGCACTCCAGACCCGGCTGCCCATGGTCAATTTATCTGTAATGTATGATGTACCACTCGAAAGAAACTGGAAGTACGCAGCACCACTAAGCTACCTAGGTACTAGCTTGACTAAAGTGACTTGGGAGAGTCACTCGTGACTGACTCTCTTGGCACCTCTGAAAGCAAAGATGTATATTACTTGTTGATTGGTCCCCCTTTTTCCCGTTTCCTTGCACTAAGTGTCTTAGCCCACAGTTTCTTGTCCCCCAGAGCCCCAGCAGGCGCATCATCATAATCTTAAATTTCATTAATTTATTACATCAGAACTTGTATGTATCTGTATATGATATGTATTAATATATGTACTGTGAATTTTTGTATTCAACGCAAGGGTGGAGGATGTTCACTCAATGTATGTGACTCCGTACGAAGTTGCCCAGTTACTCGAAACTTTGCTCCGTAGGTAATGGATGGGTTAGATTACCTGTCTGGACAACTTCTGATTTGCGACTAAAGAAAGTAAATCTTGATATGCAAGCACCACTCCTTCAAATTGTCCATAGGCCCTTTCATATTGAAATTGACCTCGAACACTATGCAAGGCGACTAGCCTGGAAATAAGATTGAAGGAAGAGGAGCCAATTCTAGTGTTTTGTACGGAGTGTGGTTACGTGAAACACCAGAGACACAACCGCATTGGACGATGATAGCCTCGCCGGCTACTACTAGTGCCTTAGGTACCTACGGAGTAACTACACCGTAGCAGAGTAATTACTTGGTAGGTGTACTCATAACAACCACAGGTATTACAGTTATTCAAACGAACAGTACGATCAAGAGAACAAATCTCAACTACCTCTTGTGGGGTGTCATCTTTCAGATCGATCAACTATCACGTTACTATGATTACTTTAATCATATAATACTGGGACTGGCTTCAATCATTTGGCATATTCGGTCCAAGGTTCCTCTTTCCTAAATTCCCCCTCCGACTCCTAAAGGGAGCGAAAGACAAACCGGAAGAAAGAGGACAGCGTTCAATCCCCTTTCAACAGGGGCCGCTTATCCGCCGTCCCCCACCCTCAAGACGTGACTAAACAACCAGCAAGAAGGGTAGCAACTCTCGCTGAATTCTATCCCTGAGCCAACGCCTCGCAGTCCGCAAACGCAAGTACCGGCTGGTGCTGTTACGGCGCACCTATCGGGCCCGTCAATCTGGCCACGCTTGGTCTGCGGTATCTTCAATCAACCTGACGCCATTCTTTTTGCCTCCGATCTGATTACTGAATGACAGTTAACCTACATCTCATAAGTGGTAGAGAGCGAAATAGCGGCGACAATACCAGTTTCGATAATAATTTGTGCAGGACGAATATCTGGACCGTGGTTCTTGTGAGTGTTTAGGGTGCGGAGATTTCCGCCACAGAAGCCACAAACACCAACGGGGGCTTTACAAGAATCAACCCTAAAATTTACTGTGAGTTTTTGCCCTCAAAAGCCTTTAGCTATAATTCATCCCACTATTTCCCCATATCTGTCTTTCGCATACTTTTCTGTTGCGGCACTGCATATAGCGGGACGGAGAACCGCCCGTGCGTGAGGAGGAAGGCAATGCTCCTTCAGGTACATCCATAAACTTGGCCGGTGTCTAGGTTGAGGTCTCGACCTCATATTCCCACGATATAGGTTATGCACCACTGCTGTCAAATGCTAATTCTAGCGCTTCAGCTATCAGAGGTCTGCTCTGCGAGATCAAGAGAATCAGCAACAAAACGCTTATCCTGAAGCCTCCGCGTATGGCCGCCGCGTTCCTTGGTTGATTTCCAAGATACACCGTCATAATAGGTCAGCTCCAATTAAGCTTGCCTGATAACTCTGCGAAACTTGCACATCCCATGTCTACGTTACCCCAACCGTCGCGGCCCGCCGCGAACCCTTCGACGGGGTCCTTACCCCCGCTCTCAGCACCGAAATCGAGAAAGAGTTTACCAGTCTCATCTGACCACGCGAGGGCGCCTTCTCCGTCCCCGATTTCTTCCAAAATACGTGCCTCTCCTAGCCCAAGGCCATCACTTAATAAGACTGCACTGTCTAACTCGGCTTCCAATCTGAGCTCCTCCAGGTCAATATCCGCTGGCCGAACTCCAAGCAGTCCCGATAAATCGCTACGCAGGACTATTAGTATTGCGGCATTTCCCCAACCACCAAAGACAGGAAGTCGTCCTTCCACTGCATCATCAATATCAGGTATTCAGAGTCTTCGCTCCTCTGGCAGTGTGAAGGTCAAAAGGAACTCTAGGTTAAGTGTGGGGACCAGCAGCAGCTACCGAAGTTCACAGACCCCATCCTTACTGAATGGCGGTGATAATAAATCGATTGTTGGTACAGAGGCGCGAGATCCAGAGGCTTCACCATCGCAAAGCCGGAGCTCTTCTGCCCAAGGGTCATACTCGACAAGCGCAACCACTTTCGAGGATGCAGATGATGTAACGGGTGCCCTCAAGCCTCATTCGAAACCTAAGGAGGCCAAAGGGAACGTTATAGTTAGTGTTCGAGTGCGCCCTGATGTACACGGCACCGAGACATCAAAAACCAATAGCGAATGGGCAGTGGATGCACGTCATAGCCTTATCACGTTTAGCGGAAAGGAAGGAGGCGATTATTATTATGGTAACAATAGCCCCTCAGCCAATCCTTCTGCACAAAGGCTTACCCTTGTATGTCAGATAACGTCTTCTCTCCCCATGAACATAACGCCAAAGTTTATGACTCTGCGGCAAAACGCCTCGTGAGAAGGGTAATGGAAGGTTATCATGGTACCGTCTTTGCATACGGCATGACTGGAACTGGTAAAACCTTCTCGATGCAGGGAACTGCTACCTCTCCAGGGGTAATCCCACTGGCAATAACCGACATATTTTCCTTCATCAGGGAGACTCCACATCGAGAATTCCTGCTTCGCGTTAGCTACCTTGAGATCTACAACGAGAAGATCCATGACCTCCTTTCAGCCTCTGCTTCTGGCGGTGGTGGTTTGCCTCTCCAGCAGGAAGAAATAAAGCTGCGCGAAGATAGTAAACGAGGCGTGTATGCTACTCCACTGAAAGAAGAGATCGTACAAAGCCCGACACAACTTCTTCGTGTAATTGCGAGGGGTGACCATGCAAGAAGAACTGGAAGCACGCAGTTCAATGCTCGCAGCTCCCGAAGTCATGCAGTTGTCCAAATCGTTGTTGAGAGTAGGGAACGAGTGCCCGCGGGCGCCACTCAGGACAGGCGATCGGGCATAGCCCCGGGAGGAGTCAGAGTATCCACGCTTAGCTTGATAGACTTAGCAGGATCCGAACGGGCAGCTGACGACAAGGAACGGCGCACAGAAGGTGCTCACATAAACAAAAGCTTACTTACCCTTGGGACTATCATATCAAGGCTTTCGGAAACTAAGGACAAGGCTGGTAACCCGACTGATCGCGACGGCAGACACCTGCCATATCGTGATAGCAAACTCACGAGGTTGTTACAGCCAGCTTTGTCAGGGAATTCACTAGTTAGCATTCTTTGCACTGTTCATCTTGGCGTAACCGGCAATTCGAATTCTGGCGAAACACTTAATACTTTGAAATTCGCGGCGCGAGCTAAAAACAATATCGTCAGCCACGCCAAACGGGCAGAAGAAGCGCTTGGTAGTGGTAGCAGTGACGCAGGCAGCCGTGTGCTTCTAGAACGCTACCGAATGGAGATTCAGGCCCTTCGAAGCCAGCTCGAGAGTCAAACGAAAGCACAAGCTGAGAAAGAGTTGAAATTGGAAGAGCAGCAACTAGAAAAGGAGGCACAGGCACGCCACGAAGAGCAAATGTTGGAAATGCAATTAGCTCGAACCGCTCTCAAAGAGCGCATAGAGCATCTCAATCGGCTCATTCTTTGTTCAAAATCCACTGGTGTGAACAGCCAGGGAGCGATGTCTACTCTCGGTCGACTATCAAGAATGTCGGCTGCCGAATCGGTGGCTCGATCTTTACGCTCTTCAGTCAGCCAGTCAACATTGGGTGCGTATGGGACATCGTCTGTGCGGCCTGCATCATTCCTCTCCGTCAACAGTAACGAAGCTTTACCTTTCTCGAGTGGTTCATTTGGCAACGATGAGGAGGAAGATATCGTGGGGGAATTTGCGGACGGAAAAGCAAGCGCTCAGAGGCAAATCATAGCCCTTCAGGCCGATTTGAGTGACAAAAATCGGTATATCTCCACTCTTGAGAGACGCCTCTTGCAGGCCCGGCGGTCCAGCCATTCGCGAATGTCAATAGGCGTTAAAGCTGGGAGTGCAACTTCTGAAAGTCCAGATATGGCGGCTTTGCTACGTGAAAAGGATATGGAAATCAACGAACTTCGACAACAGTTAGACGATAAGGATCGGATGCTCGCTGCGCTCCGCTCTGCTGCCCGGCACCGAGACCTTGCGCATCTCGCTACCGATACAGACCTCAAGGATAAAGGTGAGTATCGAAGTGCCGACCCAGATGTGAGCGACTCGCTAGCTAGCGACCATATGGCCAGTATCCCTCCGCCTCACAAGGAGGACGAACTAAATGACAGGAAAAATATGGATGATGAAATGTCACGAATCCTCAATGAGATGATCCAAGATCGGGTTGACAGTGGCCACTTAATCAAGGGTTCCCATGGGAGTGTCCGTATCGCTACCGAAAGTCGACGGCCTTCTGACACCACGACGCCTGTTCAAAGCTTAACTCCAAGTAGCACTATCCATGACAATATCGATCATGATTTCCAACCGGGATAACAGACATCGCTTTGCTTGCCTTGCATCCTTAATGTTCCCGGCATGCTATGATGGACTTGACCCATAACGGGAGTTACCTTTCGCTAATTATCTCCCCACCCTTTCTACTTTTTTATTTATTTTTTTTTCTATTTTCTTTGTTTTTCTATTTTAATCTCCCTCGCCCTTCCTAAAACTTTTATCCCACATTATGTCCCCTTCGGTTTTCTCAGATACCCAGGCTGCTATTTCCGTTGTTTGGTGTTTGCCCTTACGATATATCATTTAGTGCAAGGCTGGAAGGAAATAGTCAACATGTACCCTTGCTTCATCATCCTTCATCAGAAAGGCTCAAAATGCAATACGAGCGCTTCGAATACTATCGTGTAGTTTCATTCCAAGGCCCTCTTCGTCCTCCACACACAACGAGCTCTTCCCTACGGCCGTCCTATAATGGCTGCTGTGGATAATGCCGGACTAGTCGAGGCAAATATAAACATGCTTTATAATTCTAAGATATGCAGCTAGAGAAAATCTTATATGGAACCAGATGAGTTCTCGACCTAATGATAATGTGTCATGTTTATCTTGACAATGTCCCTTTCAAAAGGCACGTCCAGCCCCACGTTTCTTTTTTGTGTGGCACTATGGGTTAAGATACAAAGCTACAACACGTGTAGTGAAGGAAAGGAGTGATCCTGCATTAGAAGAGTCATATCACGCAACGATCTCGAGTTCAGAAGTCCTGTCCCTGGCATAAACATCTTTCCATTGCTCCCATAATCTTGCAAGCTCCTGCACATACTTGGCATGCAAATAATCGATATACTCGTCATCGATCTTATTCCTATTTTGCTGCTGAACAACTTCAATGGGACAGCCAACAACAATGTTCAATGGGCGACGGTAGGGCATTAAACCCACATCATAATTAAAGACCCCACGAGCATGAAACAGGGGGATTGTGAAACCCATAGTATGCTTTATGAGCATTTGAAATCTGTGTATCAGGGGGTGTTGGTCCGAACGCACTTGTTCATACAGATCATTTTCACCGAATGCTAGCACTGGAACAAGATCGGCACCAGTACGAATGGCAAGCTTAATAAAACCTTTCCGTCTCTTAAGTACAAGACGAAGAGTGTTTGGTAATGCATCGAGGGATTCGCGGGCGCCACCAATGACAATAGTGATAGCACGCCCCATGCCTTCGCCGTCGGCGCCACCTTTAGTAAGAAGATTCTCGCATGACTCGCGCGAGACGCTAGCAACACCCATAGCAAGAGCATACTCCCGATAAAAAGGGATCCGAAAATTAGAGTCGAGGGTAAGCAAGGTATTCGTAATTCCCGGGAAGAGCTTAGAGAAACCGAGCGCCTCCGTCGCAAAGGCCGCGAAAGCGCCGTGTGATATGATTCCATGAGGGTGATACCCAAATATATATTTCCGTGTCGGCAAAAGACGTTCAGACCGATGTAAACGGGCCGGGAAATAAGACGCATAAATTGACCAGATGCGTGAAGATCGCAAGTAATCGCTCCGGCCACTTAAGGTCCCAGACGTGGCAGCCGTTGAGAAGAGCGATATATAAATTAGATAAGGTAAGAGAATAGGCCAGGATAATGGTATAGCACACGCGAAGAAGAAGCTGGTAAGAAAAATGGCGATAGTCAAAGTATGACACAATACCACAAATGTTTGAAGGCGACGTTCCAGACCGATGTTTAGTGGTGCCCAGCGGATGCTAGAATTCCAGAGTCAGACTACACAGGCTATATATTGGACTCCTTCCATCAAGACCCAGACCTAAAGAAAAACTCACCCCATTTTTTTGATTTTTCCAGGTTCACCAGAAGCACTAGAGGTGGAGCTCTCTGCAATTGCGGATAATTTGTGGTTATGGGAAGACTTCATCTCCGGCTCACCCTGTGATTTATGAACTCCATTTCTTACAGAAGCCCTGGGTATTTCTCCTGAAGAGTCAGAGCTAGAATTGCTGTCCTGACATTGGCTACTTCCATTTGAAATCACGTGTCCTCTATTACCGCTATTCTCTGGTGTTATCAGGGTCGATCGAAGTTGATGAGTTATGTCCGGAGTCACGGCCATATCGGAATCGATAGCAAGTGCAACACTCGTTTGACTGATGGAGAGCCCGCAATATCAAGAATAGCCAGTGTCACTTCGGGATGTAAGCGATTTAGTTTTGGGGGATATTCATTGAGCTAAAACCACAGGAAGCGGCTTAAGTATTATGTAGTTATGTATGGATGACAGGCGCCTATAGTTGTTGTTGCTCAGATGTAAGATGATTATATATGGCCAAAGTATCAGAAGTATCGAAGTAACTATTTCAAGTCATATCGCGGGTGATCATGTTGCACCCGCGGAAGATAGAAGGAGCCCTTCGGCACTTTCAACTTTCACGTGAAGAATGACAAACCTGTTACAGACGTCATTACAGTTAGGTACTACATTAGGGTCGGCTGACGACGATCACCAAATACCCCCAAGTCCAACAGGGCTGCGATAACCACCTCCTACTGTTAGCATCAGATGTAAGATCGATGCTTGAAATGTGCCCTTTAAATTGTGAAGGTTACTTCTCACGGGACACTGGGCTAAATATTGTACATAGGCCATCGTGACTGCTTAAGGCCTCCTCCTTCCTAGTAGCATTGAAAGCTATTACAAAACTTACTCAAAAGGTCAGGAGAAAGCCGTGGACTGTACTAAACGCTTCCCAGATCCATACTGAGGTTCTTCATTAACATGTAATTAATATGTTAGAGCTTTCCATTAAGCAAAGATGTATCATGCTACTGCGTGGAAGTTCCATGATTAGTGATACTAATTAACGTAATCAGTGAGCGAACCGGTCACCTCTATTTGCATTAGAAAATGGCATATTTCTGAATAAAAATATCTCAACCAATTTAAGCTCTATCGATGTTAATGTTTATATGTAGTCTATCCTATACTAGAATAATAGACCATTGAATCTAGGGATTCTAACAATCTTTAATTATACCAGAGTAAAATAAATTACTATGAACTTTTATAATATAGTAGTAACCTACTCTGTAGACTTCTTAAGACATTTTTTCTACTAATATATAGTCTGCATTAAGTCATATAAATAATATCTATATTAATATTATATCAAAAATTTAAACTGATATACTGAATAGTGGTCGAGATATTGATGTTTAAAGTTATAACTTATAGTTATACCATTTTCTATGGAATACAGAGGTGACCGGTCCGCTTATCGATTACGTTCAGTTAAATTTGTACTTCATAGGTTACTTAATAATTGTGTTACTCCTTTGCGGGCTTTTTTCCACGTGATCTCATCTCCAGACAATGCCCGATAATCCCAGACACTTGTATCATATGCCGAGCAGTTTGTTGGTTTGACCAGCCATTGACAGTATCATATACTAGTAGTTTAGTTCAGCCAAGATGGAGAGCCATATATGCATAACAACCTAGAAAACTTCGTGTCCTTGATCACAATTGCAGATGTATAACTCTGTCAAAGAACTAAGGGGGTATATAGATGCGGTGCGTCGTGATGTTCAGCTTTCTCTATTGGCACGAGAATCGGGACACTGGGGCTTGGGCTATTTTTCTGCACAGAATGACCGCAACGAGGCGCTGTAGTGTGCTACACGGTCCTTACTTTGACAAGATTATGTAGCCTGGGGACACATAATGTAAAGTAATTCATGACTTAATCATGAATATCTGTGTCTGTTAGCTTCAGGTCCATGGTGGTAGACAATGATTGAATTACCTCGTTGAGAGACCTATCATCCATGAGGGCTTTCTTCTTTTGTGCAATGTGTCGACCTCGGAGAAGATGTCTCCCCATAGGACGGCGTTCTTTTGAAAAAATCCTAGCAACTTGGGGTGATGCATCTCGGGATTCGTTGACAGTGGCTTCTAGGCTAGTTTCCAAGATCGCCTTTTCAGGGATTTCAGAGTCTGTAGCGCTAGGCTCATCCATGTGCTTCCTTTTCTTGGCCTTCCTGTCTTTCTTATCCTTCTTTCCCTGTTTGTCCTTCCTATCCCGTTTGTCTTTAGAGCTGTAGGTGTCCTCCGCAATAGGGATAGATGAAACTTGTTCCTCTCTAGGTGCCTTGAACGAAGTATCTTCGATGGAATTGTTCGCATCGTTCTCACTCTTTTGCAGATCTAAACCACCTTGGATTTGATGTGAACCATGCTGAGCTTCTGGGGTTTCCTTCCGAGGGGAGAGGGAAACAAGCTTTTCTTGCGCCAACAAACCGCCGCTGATGAACCTAACCGTATGCCATTTTGTTGCAGCATACCGTGCTATCTTCGCATCTTCGCGCTTTTTCTGCTCGGCTTCCAAATCCGCATCAGATTTTCCATTCAGACGACCCAGTAAACCTTTGAAGGCATCAAGTCCAGTAGGTTCATCGAGAGGGTCACGCTTAGAGCGTGCCCCAAGGCCAAGTGTATCATCCTTCACAACAACCCTAATATGAGATGCGCTCGCAGCAGTGAACATATCAGCATGAGCGGCATTGCGAGCACCTAGAAAACTGCCAGGAGTCCACCCCTGAGAGCTCATAATCTTGTGACCATAGCCGCTAGTCGATCGGGACCAATTTGTATTGTTTGGATCATGGGAGATTTTCGTCCTCCTTATAATAACTTGCTGTCAGTATTCAAGTTATTCAAATATCCGAGGTGCACCAAAATCACATACTTGCGGGGTGCTGCTAATCCCATTTGCAATGTTATATATTACAATGGATATTAACTCCCTATTTTCAAGATCCTCGAAGCAAGAAACAAAAGAAAAGTATAGAACAAAGGCGTGAAGCAACGAAATGATAGTAGACTAGCAAATTGATAATATAGAGAAAAAAAGAAAAAGCAAAAGCCCGATAACAGACTTAATATAGACCGCCTACTTTTTTGGGGACCCCACTTCTAATCAGTGGAGCAACTTGCGCTCTTTCAATATTGTATCAATATTCAGCAGTTTATGGCTCCCCAAGACTTGAGCCTGTATGAAAATGATCATTAGATACGTTGGATAGCCTATAATATGCCTAATTTGCAAGTTTTTTCTCGGGACAGTCCTCAGCGCACTCTTGCTATAACTACAACCGACTTCGCCTTAATCTTCAAACATGGCTCAACAGCTCCAGCAATCAATAAGTCACCCAATAATAACCCACCACGGTGTCTCGTTCAATTTGCAGCGTTACAATCTGTTGACTTGAAAGGCTATCGGGCTTTGAGTGACGGGTTTGGAACTCTCGGATTGATTACTTTGGGCGAGGAAGTCTTCCTCTGCATTGTTACTGCTTGCTCAGATGCCGCAGTAGTAAGACCAGGAGAAACAGTCTCAAAAATTGACAACGTTGACTTCTGTACTATCTCATTGTCATCTCGTCCGATCGATAATAGCTAATTAACTCAGTTTGCCTTAGTCATTCAGACTATGAGAATGGTCTTGAATACGAATCTAAATCCTCCTTTGCAACTGAGGAATTCAGTCGTGGACCCAACCTTGAGAATAAGGAGATAGTTACTGATCACCCGTTCTTGGCCCTGAAGAAGCTCCTGAGTGATGGCAGCTTCTATTATAGTCTTGATTTCAACCTCACTGATCGACTGCAAGACCGGTTAGTCGATATAGGATGCCTATCGACCAAATAATCAAATGTTAGCTGATATAACATTAGTTCGGAAAAGTCAACAGCTTTCGATATTGAATCTCTGGATGAGGATATGCTGTGGAACTCTTACATGATCCATCCGCTTCTTCTTTTCAGGAGGCATCTGTCGCCTGCCGAAAAGCTACGTCTTGACTCTTCCCAGATCCTTACATGTGTTATACGCGGGTTTTCTGGTACACTTACTATCCCTGCTTCAATCTCCATCCTGCCCCAGCTACGAACAAATTTTCCTTCCACATTGACCATCATTTCGCGACAGTCCTCTCGGCGAGCAGGTACAAGGTTTAATTCCCGAGGCATCGATGATGATGGCCATGTTGCCAATTTCGTTGAGACAGAGACAATTCTTTGGATCCCACCCAATATCACATTTTCTTATGTTCAAGTACGTGGCTCAGTGCCTATTTTCTGGGAGCAAGCTACTGGATTCCTACCTGGGCAACAGAAAATTGAAATAACTCGATCTAGTGAGGCGACTCAGCATGCTTTTAACAAGCATTTTGAGAATCTTGAATTGGAATATGGTGCAATCCATGTGGTTAACCTTCTCAGTAAGCTTAAATCCGGGGAGTCTGAGCTGTCGACGGAATTTTCCAACCAGCTCAGAAAGAGTTCTCTTAGCCAAAAAGCGGATTGTAACATATTATCCAATCATGCACTTTTGCGAGGAACTGAATTCGACTTCCACGCTGAGACTCGAGGTCCCTTGGGGTACGGAGCTAGCAGCCAAATAAAACCCCAGTTATCAGATTCTTTGGATGGTTTTGCATATTTTCTGTCTGAAGGGATTGGTTCAGCAACCTCAGACGAGAATCAAAATGAACCGAGGAGTTCCTTTGTCATTCTTCAACAGGAAGGCGTGTTCCGGACAAATTGTTTGGATTGTCTCGACAGGACTAATCTTGTGCAAACCATCATCAGTTCCATGGCCCTGGAATCTTTTATGTTGCAGCGAAAAGGAAGACTAAACCCAGAAGTCCAGCTGAAGCACTCAACCCTTTGGGCCGACAATGGGGATGCTTTGTCAAAAATCTACGCAGGTACAGGTGCTCTGAAAAGTTCGTTCACACGACATGGCAAAATGTCCATTGCTGGCGCCCTGGCAGATGCACGGAAGACCGCAACGCGGCTTTATGTCAACAATTTTTACGATAAAGCTCGCCAGAAAACAATAGACCTTTTATTGGGACGATTAACAGATCAATCGCCGGTGCGTCTCTATGACCCGATCAACGATCTGGTTTCCGATGAGTTAAATAGGCGAGCGTTGGAATACTCCTCTACCAAGTCTATCAAAATCTGGACAGGGTCATTTAACGTCAATGGGAGACATCGTGGACCAGATGTCGACCTAGCTCCATGGTTATGGGCAGGAATCAACGGGCAAGCTGAGGACCCGACTATATTTGCTGTCGGCTTCCAGGAGATCGTTTCACTAAGTCCGCAACAGATAATGTCGACGGACCCTACAACTCGTAAGGTATGGGAAGTTGCTGTGGGGAACTGTTTGAACAGTCGTGCGAGGTTGAGAGGAACTGCGAAGTATGTCCTTCTGCGGAGTGGCCAGCTTGTTGGCGCCGCACTTATGGTATATGTTAGAGAAGATGCACTGGGGGATATCAAGAATGTTGAAGGGAGTGTTAAGAAGGTAAGCTGCTACACAATTCCCATAAACACATGTTTGACAATGATTATGTAGACGGGCCTCTCTGGAATGGCTGGTAATAAAGGTGGTTGCGCAATACGTTTTGAGTACTCCAACACCCGGATATGTTTCGTGACGGCTCATCTTGCCGCTGGATTTGCAAACTACGATGAGAGAAACAGAGACTATGAGACTATATATCACGGACTCCGCTTCCAGAAAAATAGAGCAATTGAAAACCACGATGCCATTGTGTGGCTTGGGGATTTCAATTATCGAATCGGTCTCGACAACCAATTCGTCCGAGAACTTGTGGCACAGAAAGACTACCAAAAGCTTTACAACAACGATCAGGTATTTTAATTGCATAACTCTGGGGTTTGCCTTTAATTAACGTCATGTTTCAGTTAAACCTACAAATGTTGGCAGGCAGAGCCTTCCCGTTTTATACTGAAGGGCACATTACATTTCCCCCAACATACAAATATGACATTGACAGCGATACTTATGATACATCGTAAGATCTGGCTTATCTTACGAAATCGGTATTCGGACTGACTGGTTGCAGAGAGAAAGCACGTATACCTGCTTGGTGCGATAGAATTTTGTGGCGAGGGTCATGTCTTCGTCAGATGGACTATAACACTGCAAACTTACGATTCTCAGACCATCGACCCGTTTGGGCCGCTTTCTCATGTATCATCAACGTTGTTGATGAAGCTGCGAAGGCTAGACTCAGGCGAGTGCTTTATACTGAGAGACGCAACGACCCCTACAACGTACTGTCAAAGACAGTAGAACAAGCGAGCCCACAAAGTGAGGAACACATTCCACCCACGCCTATTGCTCCTGGTCTACCACCAGCTAGTTCGGATCATCATAGATGGTGGCTAGAAAATGGTATGTAACCCAATCACTCGTCGCGTACTTTTGCACCGCATCTTCCCTTCTTCATTTATTCTAATCGGGATATTTAAAAGGGGCACTCGTAAAATCAGCCTTGAGGCCACCTGGTGATGGATACAATCTCAACATCCACCACAACTCCAACCCCTTCTCTTCCAACAGTGACACGAGTTGGATCAATACTCACGGTTCCACTAAAAGACAAACTTTTACTAAGGATCAGGATACTGTACCGCAAAGCCCGCAACATTCCCCAAGGCTCAAAGTTCAGATTTCGCTAGTTAATCAGGGTGCGGGGAGTCATTCATCAAGTTCCTCGGACAACACAGTCAATAGGTATACCGGACATCCGGGTAATGAGAAGGCTGCACCACCGATACCCCGAAAACCGGTTTCTCTTAGTTCAAAGCAATGTCTAACGGGATCCTGGCCAGTTACTAGCACTGCACAAGCAGTTGCTGATATGGAATCCATCTTTAAAGAATCTAATCCAATGGAACGGAATCTTGGAGGCAAAGTTAACACAGTCGATACACCATCTACCTCAACTGAGAGGTTATCAGACACTGGCATGTTAAATGGCTTTTGGCTCGACAGACGGGAAGAACATGGACAAGCCAAAAGCTCACATACAAACTCATCAGTCAGGTCACCTCCGAGGTTTACAGGTGAAATTAGTGATCTTCTTAGTGGAACTGGAGACGAAACTATTGAATGGGAGCCCCTTATTCCCCAGTGAAGCTGTTGTGACAAGACTTCGGGGAGGCGACGGAGACAGTAGAAACCGCAAATTCCACATAATGTTAGAATACGAGTCTATGTTTATTTCTGCCAGATGTCGGCAGCATGGGAAACTTTAGCTATATTACATGCAACCGGTGTTACCTATCAGGCTAAAAAAACCTGCATTTCAGCTAGAACACATAATAGCACAGATATGCATATGGAAGGAGTAAAATATGCTATTCAACGCTCTATGGGTATAATAGCACGCCGCAACACCCACAACGTTTAACACATGATAGAACCATGCCACGACCTTTTTTTTTTTTAGTAACACAGATGCTTTCCGTGCTCCTTGTTTCGCCGCTATCAAAGGAGATGAAAAAGGAAAACAGAATGATTTTGGATTTGGGCGCGCGATCCCACCCTGAGACATGAGAAACCGATCTCGGCTATGCGAGAGGAAAAGCCATGCCCCCCTAGAGAAGCTTGGATAGATCAAGTTCAAACTTCTAGCACTCGCCCCAGGCTGCCTTGAAAAGCCGAAGGTATCGCAGAACATACAAGGTCCACTGACATATTTGGCGTTCACTTCCCATCGCCATCTAAGCACTTGGCCTAGCTTTGAAGAAAGTAGCAATGCACGCTATACCTATCAAAATGCGCAGTTTAGAGGTAGCAGCTAAAAGCTTAGATCCTATCACAAAACACGAGAAGCAAACCCGTGTTGCAGGACTGCTCTAGGCTTTTTTCCCACTTTTAAAGTTTTGTTCAACCTACGGTTACCGCCCGCCATCCACATGGCAAACGCACCCGGGTCGGACGCTCTTGTTCGCGGCTTTTTTGCTCCTAGAAAGACAAGTCAGCTTTCGGCATAGAACGAGGCGAGGGGCGAATTGTGTTTCACTCAAGACACAGGCTCCAAGGAACTGCTTGGCGAAACAGTGGGCGTAGGACGCACCTGTCGAGTCGGTTTTTTTCTTAGGCTCCTCAGCAGGAACAGTGACAACGTCTTCGGGTACTGGCAGAGCTTCGGTGGCAGCGGCAGTTTCTGGGACAGGAGGATCCGGAGGCGGAGCTGGCTCAGGAGTCTTCGGCTTCTCTGGTATAGGCCACATATGCATAGTTATTGTCCAATCAGGTTCGATTACAGTTTCCCAAACCTGTGGAAGTATGATATCCCCGTTGGGGCCTATCAAATCATAGTGTCCCTCGGCGACGTGAGGTCCAATTACCTCTATGTGGAGAAAAGCCTGGCGGATGAGCTCTTCCATACCCTTGATTTAACAGTCAGACATAGAGCCCAAAGGGTGGATAAATAGCAGGGATAAGAAAAGACAATAAATCCTACCTGCCAAGTACAACACAGGTCAAAGGGGAAGCTGAACTTCCTCCCGACCGCATCTTTGAACTTTATGGGTTTTTTCTTTTCTGGGGGGGGCTTATCTGATGCAGCTGCCCTCGCGGCAGCAATAGCTTCTGCTGCTGCTGCATTGGCTGCTTCAGTGGCCGCGGCTGCAGCCTCTGCTGCGGCCGCTGCGGCCGCTTCCTCCGCCTCTTTCTTTGCTTGCGCTGCTTCTTCGGCAGCTTTCTGCTCTGCCTCCGCTCTAGCACGAGTAGCAGCTTCCTCTACAATCCTCATCTCATGAGCAGCACGCTCTTCTCTCGCGGCTTGTTCGGCGGCTTCTTGCTCCATTGCGGCTTGTCGTGCAGCTTCTCGCTGTTCCCTCGCTTCGCGTTCGGTCCTTTCTTCCAAGATCAACTTCTCCAGCCTTGCAATTGCTTCGTCCTTTGATGTATCCGTGGGTGGCGGAGGTGGGGAACCAGTTGATTCAACCTGACTTGGAGATGGCACGCGGGGGTATGGATTGAAATATGATGGATGAATCATGCCAGGAACCATACCATACGGTTCTCTAAAGGGATAATAACCCCCCGGTCCATAAGGGACCAAGTCATGTGGACCCAGTGGGGGACCACTATATGGTGATGGGCCATGAGATGAGAGAGAACGTCCCAATGGAGGTTGTGGTGGATTATGCCCATCACCTCGCGCATGGGAAGGTGGGGTATGATGCGGATGGTGCCCCAAATGATGGTCATGAGCAAAAAATGGCGGCATAGAGGAGCCATGAGGTTGCTGTAGTTGGTGATTATAGGCATAACTTGGATGGCCGTAAGGATTCGACTGAGCGGGATGTCCGTGGGGGCCCAACCTTATAAGCTGGTCTGAAGGAGGCTGGTGACCGCTTTGGTGTGCATAAGCTGCATGCGGTGCACCACCACCCGGGTAAACATACGAGGGTACCGGAGAGGGGCTGCGAGCATACCCTTGGCCTTGGGCCACAGACGGCCAGATTCTCTTCTCATGAGATACTCGACCATAAGGGCTATCATACTCATCCCCCGAGTCCAGGCTCTCTGGAGACTCGGGGGAAGGCTGGCGACGAGGACGACGAGTAAAATGTTCCCGTTCTTGTACAACATGACGTCTACCCGGGTGACGACGGGTTGAAGACGACCCATGAACCGTGTGACGACTACGGGCACGATGCGAAGTCCTAGGCCGAGACGCGGAATCAGATGGCTTCAACTCGTCTGGATATGGCAGGTGTGCCCATTCATCATATGGATCCTGATAGTCATGGCTTCCCGAGTCGGACGGCGGGGAGACTTGCACGCCGGAGGAGTCTTCTTCGTCAGAAAGTGAGGAATGATCGGAGCCGTGAGGGCTGGGACCAATTGTGATGTTGAACCTAACAACAATTAGGACCAAGATGCTATTGGGGGTGCAGGTGTAAGACGCACGCCATGGAAGAAGTTGCACCAAGAAATCTTCAGGTACTGTTGTTGTTGCTCCTTGTAAAACAATGAGAGATATTGACTATGGTCGCTAGGATTAGGCCTGTAATTCAACACGATTTCCTGCTTCGCGGAGGTACAGCAGAGTCTAAATGGAGGGACAGGATGCCCCCCATGTACCTGGGCAGCTGTATGTGAACCCCAGGTGGCCGTTTGTAGACCCCGGGGTTAGGTTCAAAAATGCGTATAGAAAACTTTGCTATCACCTAAGATTCTTTGCGGTACGGCTAGCGGGCATTTTTTCAAGGGCTGCGCAAGACGGGATCCTTTAAGACAGGTGATATTAGAAGAATGAATTCAAAGCCAGGGCATATACCCCGCCAAGGTAGAATGTCGGGTGCGAATTGGAGAGAAAGGAACGGTCTGCGGGAACTCAAGCAGAGACTCCGAAAGACGAGCCGAGACAAGTAGTTCTAAGCGTGTGAGGGGTTGATGCGAGGAGCAAAGAAAAGCACCAGAGAAAACTGTGGAAGAAGTTGACCTGACTCATTAGTCGACTGCCTGATCAGATAAATGATCGTTGGGCATGGGAAGGTGATTCTAAAAGTTCACGGTAATTAGGCACTGAGTTGTCAACCCTCTCTTTTCTTCATGCAGGCCTGCATATGCTGCCCAAGTGCCCAATCAACATTCAACCTTCGGGTCGAGTAACCACGATGGGGCGACAGCTGAAGCAGGTACGAAACGTGTCTCTGGAATTGTGCAGAAAATCTTTAGTTAATCTCATGGCTATGTGGCATGAACAATTGCTTCTCGTGTAGCAAAAAATGTATAACAATAATAAACATAGGAGGTGTAATTGATGAGTTAGAATTATTAATTGAATGGGCGTCTGTGCATACGGAGTAGTTACACACACAGTTCTATGTAACCTACCTGGGTGCGAATAAAGCATTATACTGATGACGTATTATCCATTGACGTCTCTTTTGGCATCGAACCATCGATATGTTAATTGGCCTTAGGAGTTCCTAATTAAACCCACCACAAGAAACTTCATACACCGAGTCACCTAGCTAACCAGTGTCTCAGTAGTAGGCCCATGCTAGAAAATCAGCAGTTCTTCTCTCACCTTGGGGATATTACCTGTTAGATACTACTATGTGTAGAAGGCACGTTTCTTAATATGAGAACCCATTCGTGTGTCCGTTCAGTAGTCCAAGCGATGGCGGCTACAGCTACTACCATCTACCCATACAAGACGGTTCAACTACCCATGGAAATACGTAGTTCATGACTTTTCATTATCCCAAATTTCATGATCAGTCAACGATTGGTTTACCCTCTAAGGCCCCCTTTGTTACCCACTTAGTCAAACCACATTTATTGCAAGCCTAACCGGCTAGGCTGAGGTGGGGATGAAGCCTACTAAGCATTTAAAAGGACTCCCTATAATAGGACTTCAGTTGAAAGTGTACAGATTGAACCCCTCTTTTCAACTCCAAATGAGAAAGGCTCTGGACAAGGTAACAATACAGGGAGAGATATTCATCATACATAAAGGAGTTCACAGATTCATCGTAAAGCTGGCTTGCGTGCTAACTTAACATGACTCGCGGTCGAGAAGCTCTTTCGCTGCAATGAGTTCACCTTGCGCATGCTCCCAAAGCTGGCGGTCCATAGACCGCCGTTTCACAATATCCTCAAGTTTTCTTCTGGCGAAAAGATTCAGTTTCTCGACCTTCTCTTTAGGCGAAAAATCTTCCGTGGATGCTGACGATGACGCCTGTGTAGAATCCATCGTAAATTCTCTGCCAAGCTGGAGAGAAGTCGCCTGGGAGATCAAACGTCAGTATAAATGATAAATACAGATGTCAAAACTGAGTCCCGGCAAGCAGAAGACAGGAAACTGGACAGCGGTTATGAGGAAGTCATGCAGCGGTTAAGGGCTCACCAATATTAAGCCATAAAGTCCTCTAAGATAATCGTCACATAGCTCGACGCTTCTACAAAAATACTGAATAGATCTTTGCAAATACCGAGAGGTAACTTCTGTCTCTGCAGCGCGGGCGCAGATGTATAGAACTTCTCCAAGGCGAGCATGAATCTGCAGTAGAGGTTAGACAAGTTTCGATGGGAAGCAAACAGTGGATACATACGTTCCAAGCATTTGGAGCGATCAACAGGGCCTCCTCGAAACTGAATATTGCTTGCGAGCTTAATCCTTGAGACTGATATAAATCTGCAAGTTCACACCAAGCCTCTGCATCGGTAGGCACTGCTTTTAGGAGCTCTACCAAGCCTGTTATAGCATCTGCAGGCCTTGCAAGTGAACGCAAAAGCGCGACACGGCGCTTTAGAATGGGCTACAAGAACCAGTCAGTAAGTGCTGATCAACGAACACATCATGACAAACCAAATTAAGCGGGTTCTCCAACAGGGAGGAATCGTATTTACGCAGGGAATCCTCTAGATCAGATTGATTCTCAGCTATAGCCTCCTCATATAGGCCACGCAGCCCCATTACTTTCTCATTCGAAGAGCCGAAACGACGTGTCAATTGCTCGAGACATAACAGAGCAGACCTATCATCGCCGGTTTGTAGACAGGAGAAGAACAGTTGTTCTATTATGCCATATTTCTCTGGCTCCTCTTGTTTAGCTATTAGTGTAGAGATTGGATTCTTTTCTGGGTGTAATTGATGCTCAAGTATCACCGGTGCCTGCTGAGAGAAACGAAGGGAAGTAATCGGGCTTGAGCTCTGAACGACATGGTAATCGGGTGTAGCATGAGCCATGATAGTACACACTCAAACCCAGTAACACACTGGATCATATGTTATTGTGGGAAGAACAAGCTCTACTATGCTCAAACCCTTTTTGCAGGGAAGAGACGGGGGTAGACAGAAAGAGACAAAATCAAGCACTTCCAGGGGTGGTAACCATGCTTCCTCCATATGAGCTCAGTTCCCATTGTGGTTAGTCATTTTCTCTGATAACCATTCCCGTGACCAAATAGATGTCATTTCACTTATCCCTCCACCTCAGATAGCAACCACGTGTTAGCCCTACTTATCAGCTATCATTATATTAACTCCATACTGGATCCTGTACTGGCGTCCGGGCTATAAGTGATTGATAACTACCATTATTCGTGGGGCGAAGGATATAATCAAGGCCAAAACATTACTCTCCATGTGACATTAATCAGTAGTAATTCTAATGTCTGAGGGCCAACCAACTACTCAACCATAATGTGCGCACCTCGCCTGTCCTCGCTACTCGAAATCTTTGCTAATCGTCCAGCAATGTAGGTTTGAAAAATCTCTTTATGACCTTATAAAAGGTCTGAGGAACCACAAGGGGGCCGAGGAGGACTACATACAAGACAGTCTTCGAGAGTGCAAGGCTGAGATCAAGTCTCAGGATACGGGTACGTTCACATCAGTCTCATGTTTTGTCGATCCATTCTATAGCTTACTCTGTATAGACAAGAAAGCTACTGCCCTATTGAAACTAGTCTACTTGGAGATGTTTGGGTATGACATGTCCTGGGCTTCGTTCCATGTACTGGAAGTCATGTCATCTACCAAGTACCTGCAGAAGAGAGCTGGTTACCTTGCAGCTGTACAGAGCTTTAGACCAGATACTGAAGTCTTAATGTTGGCTACAAACCTGCTGAAGAAGGTATTCAAAGGCACAGTGAACAAATTATCACGGCGTCTAATGTCTTCATAGGATTTAGTGTCGCCTAGTATCCCAAACATGTCCCTCCCTTTGATAACATTGCCAAACATTATCACACCTTCACTCGCAATGTCTTTGCTCCCAGATGTTCTGTCCCGCATTTCTCACTCCCATGCTGTGACTCGTAAGAAGGCTGTTGTGTGTCTTTATAGACTTGCACTGGTTTACCCCGAAGCGCTAAAATTGGCATGGCCTAAAATCAAGGACCGTCTCATGGATGACGAAGAGGATAGCAGCGTCACCACAGCGGTGATCAACGTTGTGTGTGAACTCGGATGGAGAAGACCACATGACTTCCTGCCTCTGGCGCCCAGATTCTTCGAACTATTAGTGGATGGAGGGAACAATTGGATGGCTATCAAAATCATAAAGCTTGTATATTTCCCTTCTCCCGAGTTTTGTGAATATCTTCCTAACATTATAGTTCGCCACATTAACACCGATAGAACCACGATTAACACGAAAGCTTATTCGGCCCTTGATCAACATAATTCAGACAACAACTGCCATGTCATTGCTCTATGAATGTATCAACGGCATAGTTCAGGGCGGTATTCTTGATGGTGAGGAAGGGCTGGAGGAAAAGAACGAGATTGCAGATCTCTGTCTCGGAAAGCTCAGAGGCATGGTAGTCACAGAGTCCGATCCCAATTGTAAGTCCTTTCAGATCGCAGATCAAAGTGTAATAGTGAGCCTAACATGAGTCTATAGTAAAATACGTTGCTCTCCTTGCCTTCAACAGAATTGTGATGTCTCACCCCGTCTTGGTGTCTGCTCATCAGGATGTGATTATGGATTGTTTGGAGGATCCGGACATTTCAATCCGACTGCGAGCCCTTGACCTCGTAACTCGAATGGTAACAAGCGACACGCTTCAGTCAGTGGTGAATCGACTTGTCGATCAACTTTTTAATGCCCGTCAAGCAACCAGAAGCACTCTGAGTGAGACAGGTATACACACTGACATGGAAGAGTTTACATTATCAGAAGGTCCATACGCTCAAAAGATACCGATCGTTTTGCCAGACGATTATTGTATTGAAGTCGTACACCGAATTTTAGATGTCTGCTCTTACAACAATTATTCAGAGCTGCCTGACTTCGAGTGGTATGTTGACGTTCTTGTCCAGCTAGTCAAGCTGCTTCCTCCGGGCGTTGAAGACCTTCCTACTCAGTGCACTTCATATCGGGATCCTGAGTACTACAAAAATTGTGTTGCTTTCCGTATCGGATCGGAAATACGCAATATCGCTGTTCGTGTTAGGGACGTTAGAATGGAGGCAACCAGAGCTGCAGAGACTCTGATTCTAGTTGACAACAAGCAGGGCCCATCTCCCCTTATCTCCAAACAAATGAATGACATCTTAGGGCCTCTTGCCTGGATCACTGGTGAATTTGCAGAGCATCTTGCATATCCTAGCCAAACCCTTCAATCACTGATCGATATGTCGAATGTGTCCTTATCGGCGAGCACGCTGTCCCTTTATATACAGGCTATTCCCAAACTCCTGGCCAATATCGTTTGTAGTGAGGGCAAAGCGTGGGACTCATTAAAGAACAGTGAAATGTCTCTCTTATTAGCTCGAATCATCGAATTCCTTGATTTTTTGGCTGCCCACCCAGACTTGGACGTGCAAGAAAGAGCCATCGAATTCCTAGAGGTCATGCGCCTAGCAGCAGATGCCGTCCAGTCGGAAACTCTAGAACTAGGCCAGGCTCCATTCTTGCTGTCGTCTATGGTTCCCAGCTTGTTCCATGGACTAGAACTCAATCCGGTCGCCACCAACGCCCAGAAGAAGGTTCCTTTGCCAGATCAGCTTTGTCTAACACAGGAGTTCAACAAGCATCTATATGGGCTTTTCAATAACCCGGCCAATGGACTTCCGGAGCCAGCAGGCCAACTACCATCTCAGGTGTTTTATCACGTTAGAGAAGCTTCAGCGCTAGATAAGCAGCCCGTTGAATTTGTACCTGTCGATTTGCAACTTAATTCAACATACCAGGACCTCTCCAGTGGCCTTGGAGATGGCACTGCCGCTTTAAAGCGGAGAGGGGAACGGAAAGAACGTAACAAGGATGATCCATTTTATATTGCTGCTGAAGATGAAACGTCCGGCACATTGACCCCATTTCACCAGACTCTCAACACTTCAAATGGTAGTGGACTGGATATTGACTCTATTCCCATAGTTGACCTCAAATTGAATGGCGCCGGAAGCCATCGCACTTTAACATCTATATCACGCGATAACCGACAAGGTGGCCCACGCCCTAAAAAGTACGAGATCGCACCTGATGAGATGATCGGACAGGAGGATTCACCGCATCTTGACTCCAATGATGAACCGAGTAAAGCCAAACGATCTCTTCTACAGGTTGATTCGAGTGGCCTCGAGCATCTATCTTTGGATGCCAGGGGTGGCCCCTCGGTAGATCCTACTATTCCTACGATGGCGGCCGGGCATGATGCAGAAATGGCTATGGCTGTGCAGAAAGTGGAAAAGCTGCGGCTAGAGATGCAAAGAGCGTCAGAACGTGTTCATCCGAATGGCATCCCTGCGGAAGGGACGCTGGTAAGGAAAAAAAGAAAACTAAAAAAGCCTACACGTATTGGATCCCAGGAAGCTGCACTGCTGAAGCCTAACGATGAACTGTCGGTGGACAACACTCAACAAACATTACCTTCATCTGTGGCACCAAAGAAAAAGAAGAGAGCGAAAAATAAAATCAATGCTGGCTCAGGTAGCGCACACTAAGGTAAATCCACTCGTTTGTGAGTGTCATGGACCATGTATCAGGAGGTTTGGTGGTTGGGAGTCGGATGAGCCCGGTGGTATTAGCTAGGATATCCATCTGCTTGTCACAGTGAGCGAACCATTTTTGAGGCTTTGAGAGTGTTCCCAGAGCCCTTTTTACGCCCTTGATCAGAAAGCAGTAGCCTCACCTTGCAAGTGGTTGTCGCTACTAAATTCCGACAATCACACTGTTTGTCCGTTGCAAGATACAAATCACGTACAGTGAAGTCATTTACCTAGAACTAGGGGATCAGAAATTGTACTAGATTAAATTAATACAATACTTAAAACGACCGTATTCGATTAGCGAATACCTAGCCAAGGATTATGCCAACTTGCGATTGAACATCGCAACAGCAGCCGACCATAACTCCGGAATAATCCTCAGAGCCTCGAATGCAAGCCCACCACAGACCGCAAAGGCAAGAACAACTGTTGGGGCCTCATTAGCCTCAGAAACCGCGATAATTCTGGACTTTAGAAACATACCAACCCACCCGGCAGACACCGGAGACTTCGAGCTCTGTTTTTGTTTTGTTACAGACTTTCCTTTGCCACGCTTTGCAGCCTCGCTCTTCGCGAACTTTTCATTTGCCTTCCGTTGTTGTGGTGTCTGTGCCTGAAGTAGCAGCTTCAGCAACTGTAAGGCGCAAGGTAAGTGCGAGGTTGGAGCTTACCATATTTGTTTCCTTGTGTTCTACTTTTCAGGGAGGCCCAGGTACTATTTGAGGGTGACAGGTGGAGATGAGTGGCAGAGATTGTACTGTAGCGAAGAAAGTGTGGTTGATATCACTCAATCATTTCGGGACCAGCTTCGCGTTGACGGTTAATTTGGGGTTAGCTTGAAGATAGTCAGGAGGAATATGCTGAGGCGAGAGGCCACGTTGCTTTAGTATGGTTGGGAGAAAGTAATAGGGAGCTGCCAAGTCTCACTTGACAATTAGAGGATAGTTTTATACACTCGCCTTGATTTACAGTATTTGCTCTAGAAATAGCATTTACGCCAACCTTTAAGTTGTCCTCCTATGCGTAGGGCTGCTGCTGCCCTATTGGCGTAGATAGTAGAGGGTGAAGGCAGCAAGGAAAGATGTGTTCAACCACAAGGGCCTGCGGGGAGTAATTAACTATGTAAGTATACTAGTATATCCATATAATATCACAAGCTGTAATTATTGATCCCCCACTTCACTCATCGGCTTGCATTTTACTAATACATAATATAGGTATAATTAAAATTTTCTATTGTTCCTACAGCTTTAATAAAAAACAAGATAAATAATTTTCAACTATAAAGGCTATAATTTATATAATGATAACTATACACATAGTACTTAACTAAATGGAACTATAAATAGTATATGTGATTTCGGCAAACGTAAGGGTTCATATTAGGCCGAATGAGGTCTCCAAAAGCTCTCCAAGCTCGGGGATTAGGAGCGCCTTCTTATACCTTTTACTTAGGCTCGATCTAATACTATACTACTATAAAGTAGAGTATTAATCTAGAATTCTATTCGATAGTCCGCTCAGTCTTGTTTAACAGATTATTAAATAGATTTAGTGTCGTGGTTATTCTGCCAACCTACCGATTAGCAGTAGAGAAAGCGGTAAAGGAGTCGCTTATCAACTATTAGTATACTGACAATAGAAGAACAACTTTATTAATTAATTATTCTCGGTACTTTAGATATAATAAATAGTAATTATAGAAAGACTACTATTATTTTCTATCTAATTTTAAGTTAATATTAGCTACTAGTAGCTAATCTCTATATAAAAAAGAGTTAACTTATTTTAATCTATTTATCTATTAATTTTTATTATGATCTACTTATCTAGTAAAATTCGGCTAGATCTATATAAATCAAAACTAATTTTACTTATTTACTATTTTTTATATATAAATATTTTAATTATTTTATTATAAATTTTATTTTAAT